ATAAAATAAATAAAATAAAATCATATACAGGAGGTTGGGGATAGGGGAGGACTCCATGGACTGAGTACCATGAATACCCCAAAGACGGAGGAGTCTGGGTTTGGGGAGACGAGGTTGGATTCCAAGCCTGCTGCCTACATGCTACAAGACATAGAACCCAGGCAGAGGTTCGTCAATCACACAGAACCCAGGCAGAGGTTCGTCAATCACACAGAGCCATCTCTCCAGAGACTACAGATTCCATTAGAGACCCATCCTGGTAGTTAAGCCCACAGCAAATTAAACACAGGTTGCGTCTAACAAGAGTTCAAAACCAATCTGCCCCTACTCTTCCTGCCTCTTACTGAAGTCAAAGATAAACTCACCACGGTTCTTCTATCCTCCTTTCCCTCCATACCAATGAATTTTCCATGAAAGCAGAAAACATAGATAAATCCTAGCCTGGGGGATGGAGGGCGTCTGTCTCCCACAAGTGATTAGAGACCTCCGCTCTGTCTGTGGGGTGGCCTTTCTTTTCTTACTCTCTGCTAAATAAACTTACTTTTTGCTTTAAACTCTCTATCGGCTCACATTTGAATTCTTTCCTAGGTGAAGCCAAGGATCCTCTTTTCCTGCAACACTGGAAGCCCTTTCATTAGATTTTCACAAAGCCTGATTTGATTTGGGAGACGCCCTATGCCTAAGGGCTCGGTAGGAAACCTCTTTGGCAGTGGACTGGTTTGGCTCAGAGGGGAAGACCATAACTTTACCCCCCAAATTTGGGGTATCCCCATTGAGATGTTCCTGGATACTTGTGTCTTCTTCTTTTGCAGTAATGGGGGTCCCCGCCAGCCTTATGGAAAGGGTCTTTTACACACATGTGATGTGAGGTGGTGGGTGCTGTTTCCCCTGGTCCCTTCACCCCGCCCTTGTCAGTTTCTGCCCCTTGGTCTCCTGGTCCTTGCACGTGCTCCCACCCAGGTCAAAACCCAAGTTTTGAGCCTCCAATTCAAAGAGGTCAGCTAAGGGGTGCCATTAATCCACAGGAGAGCTAGGTCTGCCCCATATGTTACTGAGTGGGGCTGTCTATGCACGCATGTTAGTTACTCACAGCCCCCGCATTCGATAGGAATGAATTCTAGGTGTGTAGCTCCCAACAGGGGAGGATCAGTGTTGTGACTTGCAGGCCGGCAGGCCACTGATGACTCAGGGAGATATTTTCCTGCCCTGTTACAGCTCTTCCACAAGTCTCCTTGGGTGAGTTCCCACACATCTAGGTGGAATGTTTTCTATCTTTCCTACACCCCTGACCCAATGCCACCTTTTGTTCCTCTGCTGGAGCTGTGTTTGTCTCTCACCTCGCTGCAGTTGGATCCTCCACTAAATAAGTGAGGCAGACACAGGAAATCCTGTCACTCCCAATCTTTGGCTAACATCTCAGAGCAGCAGCACAGATAAGAGTGAGGAGTGGGGTGTGGCTGGAGGAACTTGAAAGTGAAGCCTAGTACACTGAGTAACTCGGTGGACACCTCCACCTTGGCCCCAGCCCATGATTTGCATGGACCAGACCAGAGACTGGGGATGAAACTTCCAGGGAACCAAGAGGTTGAGGGGAGCAAGATGCAGGAAAGGGAGAGAAAAGACGTGTTTGGAGTCAGAGACGCAGGATTGCATCTTGACTTTCCTGCCTTGGATTCATGTGATTCTGTTTCGTTCCTCCACCTCCTGACTCACACTGTCCTCACCTGTAAGTAGGCATTTTAGTGCCTTCCTCACAGTGATTATGAAGAGTAGATAAACATAACAGCCAAATGAAGTATATGAGACTTGACTGGGTCCTTGTTTTAAAAAAATGGGGGACATTTAAATATGGCCTCTTAATGGTTTGTACTTGGGTAGAATACATGTATTTGTAGGAGACACTTGCTGAAGTATTGAAGGGTTGCAGCAGATCTACCGCCCACTCATGTTTCAACAACAACAAAATGACGTTCGCATGGAAATGAAACAAATGTAGTGAAAGGCTAACTGTTGAATCTAGGTGGAAGTTATTCAAGTGTTCACAATTTATTCTTTTTTTAAAAAAATATTTTATTGGAGAATTGGGGGAGGAGAACAGCGCTGGGGAATCGGGGGAAGGGGAACAGACAAATTGCTGTCCTTCTGTTCTTCAGTCTAGTCGTGGAGGACATTGCTTCACTGGCCCGTGTTGGTATTATCATTGCGCTTTTCCCGGGTGAGGCAGATCGGTTGCCGGCCTCTGGACGGCCGCTCACGGCAGCTCTTGGCAGCTCACACTGGCTGCTGACCGCTCACGCTGGCTGCCAGCCACACATGGTAGCCACATATGGCACCCACTGCAGCAGGGGCTGCAGCCTACACCATGGATCGCGACTCACAGCAGCCCAGCTCCAGGTCGAACTGTTGTTCACCATCTTAGCTGTAGAGGGCGGTGTCACTGGACCTCATGTGGGGTCCGAACTGGGGCCCTGATGATCAGAGCTGGTGTCCCAAGCCAGCTCTTAACCAACGTCGGCCCCACAATTTATACTTTACATTTTGCATAATGTTTAATATTTGTCGAATAAAAGTTGGGGGAGAAAAAGAATAAAGACAAGATGTGTCAAACACCCCACACAATGCTCCGTTCGGCAGTATTTATTTCATAAATATTCACTAAGCCACTGGGGGTGACATCAGCTGAGAACCAGAATGGGCGTGCCAGCTACAGTTCTAGGGATACAGCAGTGATTTCCAGAGGGCTACAGACAAACATTAAACAAGACAAACATGTGAGCATGTTGGCCGAAGACAGTGCTGAAGGCTATGAAGACACTCCATGGGTGAGGGATGGGGACTTGGGGGGTGAGAGGACCACACTGGCTTGGGTGCCCCTGAGCCTCTGAGCAGATGGAATGTGAGCTGAGGATGGACCATACCAGGGAACTGACCAGGCAGAACCCCCTCACCCTTCCCTCATCTGTGTGTCCAGGGGCCCTAGGAAGGCCCAAGATGCCAAAGGGAGTGACATCAGCCAAGAGCCAGGGGTGGGCTAGTCTGTTTCCTCTTTGGAGCAGCCAGTCATGGTTAAGTTTATGCTCTTTGCACTCACCCAGATACCATCTGCCTCCCTGAACCAGTGAACTCTGTGGTGCAGGGACAGGAGAGGACGACTGAGGGTGCCTGCTGAGTCACTTCCTGGAAGCAGCTGCTGATCTGAAGCTGGCCTTACAGGGAATCGCAGTGGCCCTTTAACAGGCCCTGAGAATGGCAAAGACACTTCTCGTAACATAATTAGATGTTCAACCTCATTTATAACTAAAAAAAAAAAAAATGCAAGTTGAAATTTTATTATTTTCACCCACCCGATTGGTCAAGACTAAGAGATTGATAATATAGAGTGCTGGTGAGGCTGTGGGGGAACAACGCCCTCTCCTCCGTTATTCATTCGGCCTCTTGTGAGTAATTTGGGTAAGTGTCCATCAGATGTGAAACCGCGAGCACCCTTTGGCTCAGCACTTCCATTTTAATGAATCTATTCTGGAGATATCATCAGAGATGTGATTTTTAAAAACAATGTGCAAGAATGGTCATCGAATTATAATTGTGGGAGAAAGAAGCAAAAGAAAAAAAGAAAAGAAAGAAAGAAAAAAGAATGGTAACTGTGGCATTTGCAGCACTGCAGTAATGACGCCACACAAATGGAAACAACTCAAACGTCTACCAATAGGAGACTGCTTACATAAATTAGGTATAGGCATACATTTAATAGTAAGTGAAGTTTTGGAAATAAAAATATATGTATGTATCATAACTATATATATATATATATATATATATATATATATATATATATATATATATATATATAAGTTTAGAGTATGCATAGAAAAAAGAAAACCAGAATAGTATACACTGAAACACTAATAATGGAAGTCTCTGGGGCATGAAATACGGGGGACTTTTCACTTTCTATAGTATGTATTTCTGTAATATTTACATTTTTGTATCACAAGCAGGTATTGCTGTCGTTAAGTAGAAAAAAAGGACTTTAAAGTGAGAGAGAAGGATGGAAGGAAGGACTGCAGTAGATATTTGTTCTTTTGGCTGGCCAGGATCTGAGCCACCTTGAAACATACGGGTAATTCGCCTGCCTCAGGAGTTCCCACCACAGAAGTTGTAAATGGCTTTCTGATGCCAGGGTCACCGTGGCTCTGCTTTGGAAGGAAGGCACAACGGAGGCTGCTCCAAAACCTCTGTGCTCATCCCCGCCCGACCCCCCGCCAGCCCCAGGGAGCCCGAGGCAGCCCGTGGTTGGACTTGGAGTTGTTGGGTTTGTTTGTTTTTTTCCACTTGCAATCAGGGTGTTAAATGCTATGCTAACTTAAGACAAAAAAGGGAGGTAGGGCTTAAAGGATGCGTCTGGGTTCCATGAAATCCACAGAACTGAACAGGCAAGTTTTAGGAAGGGCGGAAACCAGAGAGACTTCAGGCACCTGAGGAAGAGTTTGTGGGTCTTCTGTCTAGATAGCTACCCTATTGTGAGTTGTGACAACTTCCAGCTCTGCATCTCTCAGATCAAGTCCTAAATTCCTGCCGGGGAGAACCCTGATTGGCCCAGCTGAGTCAGTGATGGTGCATGGTGGGGGTGCAGAGACCACTTGTGTCTGAAGAGCCAGCCCCAGGGCAGGCAGCCAACCGCTCTCCACCCAAGCTGTAACTCTGCAAATCAGCACAGTGGCAGAGGGCTGGGGGTGGAGGAAGAAAGTGTGGGACCAGGGACAAAAAAGAGAAAGAGTCAGGCCGGGCCCTGGGTTCTCCTTCACGCGTCTGCTCCCAGCTCTGTCTTTCGGGGTAACCACCACTCCTCCAAGCCCTTCTGCCCCTCTGTTTCCCCAGTGCCTTGTGAAGGCGGAGCTGGCGGCCTGAAGAGGGGAGGCAAACGGAACCCCAAACACAGCCAATCCTGGCGGGGTCCTTGGGTGGGTGGGGCATGACGGAGAGGGGTGTGACTCGGCAACTACAGCCACTCAGCTAAACGGATCCGGATCAGAGAGACGAAACTGACGCCCTACCTGGGCCCAGGTGAGCTCCACTCTGAATCTCTCGATTGCTCGGCGTCCAGGATGGAAAGGACCGGGACGGTATCCGGAGGAGACCAAGCTGGGGCCGAGTTCCCGATGGAGCCCTTGGAAAACCAGGTCCCGATCCTGGAGCGACTGCAGGTCCCCGCAGAGGAGCGACAACCTGAAATTCCTGAGAGCAGCCCGGCTACCGCCACGCAAGAGGGGACGGGGGCGGGCCAGGACCTCTCGGGCTGGAAGAAGCTGCCCTCGCCGCGCCCCGCAGGCCTGCGGGTCCTGCCGCCCAGCCTTGGCTACGGCGCCTTCCGCCGCCAGACGTCCGCCAGCCCGGAGCTGCCGTCGCGGGGCCGCGCCGCCGCGGAACAGCCCCGGGAAGGCGAGGCTCCGGGGGCCGAGCTGGTGCCCTGGGCTGCCCCGGGGGAGCCGGCGCCCGGAGCCTGGGCGCCCATGGAACTGCAGGTGGACGTGCGCGTGAAGCCGATGGGCACGGCCAGCGGCAGCTGCGCGCCGTCTCCCGCGCCTTCCACGCGCTTCATCACCGTGCCGGTGCCTGAGTCCCCAGCCTTCCCCCGCCACGCCTCCCCCGCGTACCCGCTCCTGCAGCGGACCGCGTCCATGGGCAGCACGTGGGGCCGTGGCGCGCAGCTGCCCGCAGCCCGGGCGGAGCGCGGCCTGGACGCCGAGGGCCCGGCCAGCCCCGCCGAGGGAGGCGCGGAGCCCCCGGGCTCCCCCACGTGCCGCTGCCGCTGCAAGGAGCAGGAGCTGGAAAAGGAGAAGGCCGTGTTACTGCACCGCGTGGAGGTGGACGGCGACAAGAAACTGCACCGGGCGATTAAGCTCATCGGTAAGGGCGCACAGGTCGGGGTCCTCGCAGCCGGAGGCCCCCCAACATCCACCCAGCGCTGGGCCACTGTAGCGGAGGGACTAGGGGGACCCAGACGACCATCCCAATGCCCGACCCCACCTGGCCTCTCACGGGCTTGGAACCAATATAACATTCTGGTCCACGTAATTATAATTCAAATTGTTTGCGATAAAAGAATAAAACCACAATTCTTCCCCCTTCCCGAGAACTTGCACATTCCCTTTTAGTGTGCGCAGCATCTTTGGGAAGTAGAGGTGGAAGGAAGTTCCAGGCGAGGGGAAGTCTTTCAGGGTCACCTGACGGTGGGGGCAGCCCTGTCCCCCGGCAGGAACACAGGTTCCGGACGCCTGCCTGGCTTCAGGCCGGCCGGGACCGCCACTCTCCGCTGGGCAGACCTCTCGCGGGCTCAGGCTGCCTTTCTCTCCATCAAATACTCAGGTACATTTGGCCCCAAATACTCATCCATTCAGCAGCTGCTGCGTGGGGACCAGGGACCAAACTGTGCTACAGTGCGTGAGCGTGTGTGTGAGCGTGTGTGCGTGTGTGTGTGTGTGTGTGTGTGTTTGTGGGAGACGCAGTTGGCAGGAAAAAATGAAAGCCTGAAAAAGACATAAACAACTGAACAATTCTGGACAAGGAACCCAGGAGAGAGTGGTTGGGGAACTTGGGAGCATGGGAAAGCTTCCTGGAGCTAAGCCTTGAAAGTAAGAATTGGGGGTGGTAGAGGCCCCTTCTAGCTAGAAAGCTGCAGGAACAGAGGCCAGGAGAGGCTAGTGGCCTGCCCAGAGAAGAAGAAGCAGCCCGCTAGGCAGGCCCCACATCCCAAGGGCCTATATGCCAGAGGTTCTTAGACATGGGTGGAGGACAGGGACTTAGGGGTAGATTACTTAGGAACTTTTGCAGAGTTTGGTGTGAGCACATTTTATTCCTGATGGTGTATGAGTTTTTCTATAGCTGCTGTAACAAACTGCACAAACTTAGTGGCTTAAAATGGCACAAGTCTATTATCTTACAGTTATGTAGATCAGGAGTCTAACGTGGGCTCCATGGTCTAAAGTCCAGCTGTCAGCAACCCTGTTCTTTTCTGGGGGCTCTGGGAGAGATTCTGTTTCCTTGCCTTTTCTATCTTCTAGGAGCCACCGTGTTCCTTAGCTCATGGCCCGCCTGTAATCAAAGCTGCAATGTCAGGGTGAATCCTTCTCTCACTCATCTCTCCGACTCTCTTGTTCTTCTGCCTCTGTCTTCCATTTTTAAGGACCCATGTGATGACATTGGACCCACACAGAAAATCCTGGGTAATCTCCCCATCTCAAGGCCAACGGATTAGCAATCATAATTCTATCTGGAACTTTAATTCCCCTGTGCCATGTTACTGATCACGGACATCTTAAGATGTGGACATCTTTAGGACATTATTCTGTCCACCTCAATGAGTCTATAGTTTTTTGTTAATAAAAATCAGATGAATAATGAGTCTGTGACTAAAGAGAATGGGATGAGAAGGAAGTGAGGAGCCAGTGGGGAGGTGACATGGTTGGATTTTTATTCTAGAAAGTGAGCTCTGACAGCATTGTGGAGGAAGGATAGGACAGGCATAAGATAGGAGGAGGGCAGGCCCGTTAGGAGATGATAGCTATCATAGTTCAACAAGAGATGATGAAGACTTGGTCTAGGGCAGAGGTGGGAGGGAGGCGGATTCAAGGGGTTGCATTAGTGAGCTGGGCCACTGAACCGATGCAGGTGCGCTAATGGGAGGAGTGGGATAGCTCCGACGTCGTTGCCTAGGGTAACGGTATGATGGACTGTGATCTCTATCCAAGATGGAGAACAAGGGAAGAGGTATGAGAGACATAAGGTGCTTCAGGAAGTTCCCGGGAGAGAGGTCATCTAAAGGAAGAGGAGCCAGCCACAGACCAGGAAAGAACAGTGCAGGTGGTAGGAAGAGGCTCAGGACACCGGGAAGCAGGAAAAGGAGAGATTCTAGAAGAATGTGGTCAACAGCGTCAAATGTCTGTGGAGGCACCAGGGGAGAGGCAGGCTTGGCACCGGACAATTAGGGAGTGCTACCACATTGGAACAGTGCTGGGGGATGAGGCGGGAAACCAGGGGTGTGAAGAAGAATGGGTGGGAGAGCGAGGTGGCAGAACGCACTCCAGGATGCATGCTGACGCTGGGTGCTTTGGGCTTGCTCTCTGGGGTTAAAGAACCTTGGCGTTCCCAGTGCCCAGCGGAGGCTTGGTCTGAGGGTTGCTGCTTGGATGAGGAGCTCTGCAGAGTGGTTTCTTCCTATGGGATCAAGCTGGTTACCTGAACAAGATGGCAAACCAAGGGACAGACTCCATGACCTGCCCAAGCCCACGCAGTAATGCCCTAACCCAGCTGTTTCACAGTCCCCTCCTCATGAACCGGAAAGGGAAGCCACTGTGGAAACGGTTGGGAACATCGCTGCTTTGTCTCCACCCCTGCTTATTTGGGCAAGTGCCTCAAAGACACTGTCCAGCTGTCAGCTGAGGGATCAAAGACTCAGGGAATGTTCTCCACGGCAGCACTTAGCCCAGGGAAGAAATCTGTTTGCAGAGAATCTAAAACTAGGGGGAAAGCCAGATCCTCAGAGGTGCTGGTTAGAGTCACTTCCTCTGGTCCTCAGGGCTGAATTGTGTCCTTATTTCCATGCCCCCATTAGCCCTGGCCCTTGTGCTGCCCACTGTGGCCTTTCTGTTCCCTCTTTGTAGATATCCTCCCCTGGATGCTGAGCCCCTGGCGGCACGGAAAGGGGCAGTTTAGACTTTCACCGAAACTCCCAACACCTGGCACCTCAGTACTTTGTAAATAATTACTAAATTAACGGCCCTAACCGTCTCAAGGCACACATCAGAAATTCTTAGTCCCCAGCCCTCCCTGGGGAGGGCAAGAGGGGGTTGTCCAGCCCACTGGACCGAGGGGGTGAGCGTGGTGCTGGTGTATGAGTCAGTGATTATGAGTTGGGCACGGTGGAGATGGACTCTTTCTAACCTGTCCCCTTGTTGTCCCCTCTCCTCCCCAGGGCTGCCCATGTACGTGAAGTCCCTGCGTTGGGCCCTGGCAATCATGGCCGTGCTCCTGGCGGTGTCTGCGGTCGCCATTGTGGCCTTGGCTTCCAGAACAGGTATGGTGCCTCCTCCCGGGCCCCTCCCCTCCCTGGCTCCACCACCAGGGTGTCTAATCCTTACAGCACCTTTGTGAGAAATAGAAAAAGACATCCCCACTGGGCAGATGCAGAACGAAGCCGTGGCCCTGCTGAGCAAAGATAAGGAAAAAGAGCTGCTTCCTCGTTGGACACAGCTTGTGCTCTGACAAGCAAGCGGGTGCCAGCACCATGGGGGGGCTTTGTGCACTGCACACACTGTACAGCCTTCTGGGGGGCCCTGCCCACCCTGCTCGCCACCCAAAGATTTGCCAACTCCATGCCTCCAGCTTTGCCCCTCAGTCAAGGCAATGGGCAGGTTTTGATTGCTTAACAGACATACTCTTTCCAGTTTACCCCGCAGCTTACCCGTGGTCTCTGCTTGCAGGGGCCAGGTGCCGGCCATGCCCCCAGGGCTGGCTGTGGTCTGGGGAGCACTGCTACTACCTCTCTGCCGAAGCTCAGGCCTGGGAGGCCAGCCAGGCTTTCTGCTCTGCCCACCACGCTACCCTACCCCTGCTGATCCACACCGAGGTGAGAAGGGAGGGTGGGCGGGCAGTCTAGGCGTGTGGATATTACAGATTAGATTGCCAGCCTGGGAAGGCATCAGTAAAGATCTAGTTGCAGAAAAAGTCACCAAGGCCTGGAGAAATAAAGTGACATGCAGGGAGACCAGACTTCAAGTTGCCAAGGTCTTCCATTTACTCTTCATTCTAAGAAGCGGAGGTGGAGCAGGGATGCACGCGTCCAGCCTGGTGGCCACGCAGTTAACAGGGAGCTCAGAAACCTGTCTGTCCTGACAGGTCTGTGGGGGAGACACGTGTACCCTCTAGAAGCTTGTATGGGACAGAAATTACATTTAGTGGTTATGCTAGTCAGGTATTGATTGCTATGACTATGCTGGGGAGCAAGTCACGGCTGGTGTCGGTGACTAAGGCCAGAAACATTTCTTTCTTGATCGTTGGTCTGTGGGGGGAGCTGTTGACGGGCTGATCTTGACGGGCATCTGACAGGCAGCTCAGCGTCAGGGTGCAGATTAGCTGGGCTTGGCTTGAGCCTATGGGTTGGGTTTGCTCCGTGCGTCTCCCACCCTTCTACTTGAGAGAAAGTCTTCGTAAGAAAAATGGCAGAATCAAGCACCACTGAAGACTTCTGTTAATGTTACATCTGCTAACATCCCATTGGCCAAAGCAAATAGCACCGCCAAGTCCAACACTGAAGGAACACGGTAGCATATACTCCATCCCAGGGCAAGGGGAAGAGGAGTGAATATTTGCTGAATAACAATCCAACCAATGGGCTTGAGGACCTATAACCTGGATCTAGCTCTTGGCTTCATATTAACCTAAGCTAGGGCAGGTGCCAAGAATGTATGTTAGCTGTTCTGATATGCATGAAAATACAGCATCCCTTCAGTCAGTGCTTTCATAAATATTCATTGAGCACTTACTCTGTGTTGTTTTGTGTGTGTGTGTGTGGGGGGGGGGAATTCAGTGATGAGCCCCAACAGCCCAGCCTCCACTTTCAGACAGCTAAGAGAGCAGCGAGTGAGGCAGACATTCATCAAGAAATCATAGAAGTAGGTATTTAATTACTGTACTGATCTGTGCTATGAAGGGAAGGTGTGCAGTTCTGAGAGTATATGACAGGAGGCTGTGATCTAGAGGCAACATGGGCCTTTCAAGGAAAAACAATAAAAAGCAAGTAAGGTCTGCAAGACAGGGCCAAGCAGCCATCAGAGGGAACTATGGCCTCTAATAGTTGAGCCTTTTGGTGCTTCTTAGTACAAATTGGTGTGTTTTCTGCTTCCTCCCACTTACCCCTCTCCTTCAAAACCCACTGAGCTCTCTTGTGTCTGATAAGCCAATTACAGTTGTCCAGCTTCCAAAATTTTGTTGACATGTCTCATTTACTATTTTCTCTTCCCATTCTTGTTGTCCTTTCCCCACCCCACCCCCCTTATATTATTATTATTATTATTTTTTTAGCTGAGCCATCCTGCCATCTGTTGGCAGCTCAGCAGCACCTCAGCTCAGGCCGGACTCGAACCGCTGTTGCTCAGAGCTCAAACCTTTGAGCGAGCTCTTAACCAACTGAGCCACTCTGCCGGCCCTTCTTATATTATCTTTTAAGGAAGTTCCCTTCTGTTTCTATTTTGCTGAGAGTTTTAAATGTGAATCAGTTTAGTTTCATTGAATGCTTTTTCTTCTGTACACTGAGATGATAAAATCTTTTTTTGTTTCCTCTTTGAATCTCTTCTTGTAGTGAATTACAGTTGATTGTTTTAGTCTTGGCTAAAGTTTCCTTAGCCATGATGTTTTCTTCCCAAAATACTTCTTCTGGATTTTGCTTGTTAATATTTTACTCAAGGTTTTCGCATGCATGAAATTTTGTTTCTTTGGACTGCCCCTGCCCAGTCCTGAAATAAGGGAATTCTGCTCCATAAAGTGGGGAGGGCAATTTCTGTCTTTTTCTTTTCTCTGGGAGATGTCCTGGGAGTAGATATAAAAATCTGCTGGAGAAAATATTTTACTGTAAACATGGATTATTTTATTACCAGGAATAACGTTTATTTTTCAAAAAACAAAACAAAAAAACATTGGGAAATGAAAAGGATGCACTGTAGACAGAAAAATTACTAAGTCTGTGATCCCAATATGGTAAATATACACATGAAGAAAAAACACTGAAAGGAAATATACTAGTAATAATACCACTGGGAGGCAAGATTCCAAGTGATATTTTTTTCTTTTTTAAAGCTTTTTCAAACTGTTCTAAATGTTCTATAAATAATATTAGCTAGGAGTAGGGGAAAATGCTAGAGGCATGGTAGCCCATAGAGGCAAGAGATGAGTATGTAAGTTTCCACCCAGGGCCTGGGCTGGGCCCTGAATTCTTAACATTGTGAGGTGAGAACAGGCTGGGCAGAGAAACCTTCCCAGGCCCCTGATTCAAACGACCCAGCCTAGTTTCATCTGCAAATTGAATACCAGTGGTGGGTCCTTAGAGAGTGCTTGGAGTTGGGGATTGGGTTTAGGAGGACAAGAATTTAGCAGGCCAGTGTAATTTTTCCATCTCCTGAGACAGACCCACTGAGCACAGCAAATATCATTAGGAAGCCAATGACATAAAGGGTCCCTGTCCTCTAGCTCCTCAGCAGGCCGGTTCAATCCAGAATGACCTTGGACCTGGGTTGAGCAAATGGCCTCCTTCTGGCTGGTGGGTCCTCAAAGGTGGGGCTGGGTTTAACTATCCAAATTGCAAATGGAGTTTGAGATAAAGATTTTTTTAAAAAAACACACATACAGGATCCATCATTTGAAACACAAGTAAATATTCAGAAACTATATCACAGAACCTGGATAAGCTGCTTCTAAAAAAGTTTCCAAAAAGCTCCTTGCAAGAAGACCCAAGATTTGGGTCCTGGGCAGTTAAAATCTGGAATATGATGACTATGAAACTCTGGGGTCCTCCCCAGGTCTGGATGGGGACCAGAAGCTCCAGGAGGTGCCAAGCCGAGGAAGGCGGGGGGAATACAGGCCGGTGAAAGCCAGGCGCCGTGAGCTGGGATGCCGGAGCGCACACAGCTCAGGATAAACACGGCTCAGCCTCCCCGAGGGCTGGTTTTGCTCACAGTTAGCAAAAAGAAGGTTTAAGGGCCACCTGTGCCATCTTCGATTCACATGCCACTGGTTTAATAACAGCTCTGTTTTGTAGGGTGGGGAGGAGAGAAGCTACCTTAAATGTATATATTGACTATAAGCCACACCTTGATTTCAGAAAGATTAAAATGAACGAATATGTGTCATAGCATTAAGAAAATTAAGTAATTCAGAGCATTTAAATATTAAAGCAGGAGTGTTTGAAGACAGAAAGTAGGTGGTTGACGGGGGAGGGGGAATGGGGAGGTAGTGTTTAATGGGTATAGTTTCAGATAGGGAAGACGAAAAATTCGTGAGATGGATGGGGGTGATAGTTGCACAACAATGTGAATGTACTTAATGCCACTGAACTGTACACTTAAAAATGGGTAAAAGTAAATTTTATGATATGTATATTTTACCATATTTTTTTAAAAATAGAAAGTATGAAAGGCAGAGAAAATAATTTACCTGAATTTTAGGATGTAAACTATGAGATTTCAAGTCAATTCTGCTGTAGATCAAAATTTCCCTCCTTACCCTGGTGGGGAGGTTGGAGGTGGACCCAGCTGAAGGTGGTGAGGCCCCACAGTCTCTGTGCCATCATGACAGAGCAGTCCTTCGAGTTGGAAGTTTCTGGAACTTATAACGCTAGGCAATGCTTTTCCCGCACCACAATTTTTGCCAACAGTGCGAACAGGTTCATGGAGTCTGAGCTGCAAGAAAAAGCGGAACTGAGTGGAGTGGGGCTTGCTGGGTGGGGACAGGCCAAGGCTCCAGGCCAAGGCTCCAGTCACCCGGATGCCCAGAAGGGAAGAGGAAGAGGCCACATGGCCTGGGGCTGGGGCAGAAGGAAGGCATTGCATCCAATGAGGTCACATGTGGGGGCAGGGCACAACGCTTTGCATGCCACTCACAGCTGCATTTCCTCAGCAGAGGGGACTTCTACTAATGAGCGTGTATTATGGCTTTATACATACTGGGGGTGCCAAAAAAATGTATACACCTGACTTGTATTCATCGTTTGCTATCGGTATATATTATCACAATTTTAATACCCTTATTTCCTTTCTTAAAATGTGTATACATTTTCCGGCACCCTCTGTATTACCTCAGGCCTCATTACAGACATCCCATTTTACAGAGGACCATGCTGAAGCTCTGAAGGTTGGGTAATCTGCTTGAGGTCACAGAGCTTACAAGTCACGGAACCAGAATTCGAATATGAGGCAGTCTGGCCCCAAAGCTCTCCTCTCTGCAGTGGCAGCCCCGCTCTGAGCCCCGAAAATAGCTCTCAGCCCTGAACTGGCCGCTGATGGCTCCCAGGAGGATGGTGCTGGCCAGGGAAAGTCCCAGATCTGCTGCAGTCACTGCAGCAAGATGCCCGGGGCCGCTCTGCCTGCTGACTCACGTTCCAGGTTCCTTCTCATCCTCTCCAAAGCTGCCTGCCCAGCCCTGCCCGCAGGCCCCAGCCTGTGGCGTGGAGCCAGAGAGGAAATGGCCCGCCCAGGGAGGGCTGAGTGTGTCTTACCTGTTCTGGCCACCACTCCGCTTCCATGTGCAGTCTGATCTTTGGGATCTCAGGTGGGTCGGTTAACAAGGGTAGCCTGGAAGTTGCTTTTGGTTTCACTCCGCTGTTGACTGGCTGGTGCTCCCTGGGGGAGAGGGCATCTCAGGGGCACACCTCTGATTGGCCTGGTGGGCTGGGTGTTACCTGGGGCCCTTGGCGGTTACTGGCAGGAGCACAGTGAGGCAGTTTTGCTGAGCTGGCCTACTGTGTGCTAAGTTCTCATGGTCCATGGTGAATAAGACTGGCCCCTGGTCCTCACCAAGTTCACTAATATAGTTAAGTGATAAGCAAGCAAGCCATTGAACTGCTGCACCCCAAGCTCTAAGCTCTGAGGGTTATGGCAGCACAGGGAAGGGGGCTCACCTTGGAAGGGGGTCAGCACCGTGTCCTTATAGGAAGGGACCTTTACGCTGAGACCTGAAGGATGAATGGGAGTGGCACCAAGGGACAGTCATCACTCCAGTGCTTACTTCTGAATTCCCAGGGTTAAAATACAGAGGTTTCGTCAACGTAATAAACCATTTTCTGGGGAAGAGCTGAGCACGTTTACTTACACCATCCCGCTTCTGATCTTCATTAACATGAATCTGTGCTTCTTGGCTGGTGCAGGCTGCCTTTTTTTCACGTGGCATAATTTTGTATTTACATTTTCTTGCATAGCTACATTTTCTACGTACTTGTCATCTTTAACAGCACCGAATTTTCCATCTTCTTGCTGTCCCACAATTGTCTCATGTTCCCAGTTCCTGAATGTCTGGGTGGTTTCCACATTTTCTTTATAAATGGCACTGTGTTACCTCTGGGTGAACTCCTCTTGTCCCCTTTATGTTATTTGCTTTACTCTTCAAAGTGGAATCACCCATCCGAGAGTGAGAGAAATGGTTACCACTCTTTGTTATGAATATAGCCCCAACTTATGTTCCAGAAAGACTGGACTGGTGTGGACTGGGTCCCTGCATCACACTGTTGAGACGTCTTTTGAATACAATTGAAATGCAATTTAAAAACAAGGTAAAAAAATTTAAATACAATCTTTTGCTTTACTTCATTGTTAAAAACATGAGGTCAAGGACAAATAGAGGAAATAATCATCTCTAATAGCTCTCTTAACATACTTGTTTTGGTTCTTGTTCCCTGCGTCTGCGTCCAATACAGTGATTGTTTTGTCACTTACTGTAACCTTTCACTGACGTACTGCAGGTTTTCATACCTTCCCCATATTGCTCCACGGTCCTCAGGCTTTTTTTTAAATGGCCTTAATAGTATTGTACTGAACTGATCCAAAGTAATTGATGTTCTTGCTGGCAACTGGATTGTTGACCATCTGCTCCCGGGCCACCTCTACAGCCTAACCTACCCCATCCCCTTGTCTCCTGCCCAATTAGGCTGTTTGCTGTTACCTGGATGTGCTTTGTAGACGCCCAGCTTTGCTCATTCATGCCTTCCGGTCTCCTCAGAGCCCCTTCTTCCTCTGTCCACTCAATGTGAATACCCAAAGTGCATTGCTCGGTGGAGCTTGGCATTCATATCCTCTCTCCTTGAGCGCTGAGATGGGATCACCCCCATTTCTGGTCTCCAGTCCTGAGCGCAGTGCCCGGCAACCAGCAACCATCCAACAGAACTTACCAATTCCTAGTGTTTTGGGCAAGTTGGGTTGAGCTGGGTTGCTTCTCTGACCTGGCAAGCTGGGAACTTGCAGAAGCACCGGGTTAGCTGTGCCAGCGTCTGGAGAATGACCAGCTGCTTTTCTCCCTCAGGAATTCCTGAGCACTTACCCAGTAATCAAGTACTCCTGGGTGGGAGCCCGGCGAGGCCCTCAGGGCTGGCACTGGATCGACAGGGCCCCCCTGCCACCCCACCTGTGAGTGTCTTTGGGCCTGGGTGGGGGGCCCCCCCTAACGCACTAGCATAGGTTCCCCATTGTGACCAGAATGACATCACAGCAAGGACCAGAGAAGGGCTGGACACCTCCTCCCCCACTGCTGTCCTGGATCCTCCGTCCCTTCCCAGCTTGTCCCCCAGCTCCACCCCTGGCCTGGGGTGCCTCGGGAGGCCTACGCCACATTCATGCTCAGGGCCTGGTTTCGTTTAGTTCCCATCACCCCATCCCTTGTTTGGGACCCCCAGCACATTGTCATCCTGTTCTACAGACACGGGGTGTGCCGCTCAGAGAGGTTTGATGGTTCTCCCAGCACCACACAGCTGATGAGCCGGAGGCAGCCTAGCCCAGAGCGCTTTCCAGACCCTCGCCCTGTGCCAGGATTCAAACAGTACCCAGGCCAGCAGAGGCAGGCACCCGGGCTGGAGGGGCTGTGATGCCGGGAAGCCCCTGTATCCTGAGGGCCCCACTTTCCCTGTCTTTCCCCAGACTCCCAGAGGAAGATGAGGACCAGCCGGATCTCAACTGTGGGGGCCTGGAGGGGGGCAAGCTCGTGGCTTTGGACTGCGCCTCTTCAAGACCCTGGGCCTGCGCCAAAGGGACCAAGTGACTTGGGTCCCAACCCACCCCGAGCCTGTTGGAGCATGCAACACGCCCCCGCCAGGGGACCAAGTGACTTGGGTCCCGCCCAACCTGAGCCTCTTGGGGCACGCAGCCCCCCCCCCCCCCGGGACCAAGTGAAGAGCTGGGGCAGCATCTTCCCTGTACCCAGGCTTCCATGTCCCCCTGCTCCGTGCTCACGGGGCTCTGCCTGAGTGACCCAGGGAGCCAAGTGGCTTTCTGTGGTCCTGGGGCGGAATGCCGGTTTTGGTCTCCAGGGTCTTAAGAGGATTTGTTTGATGACCTTAGGGTGGTTTTTTAAGCATTTCTGAGCCTTGGTCTCTCCTTCATTAAAATGGCCATATCCCATTTCCTTACCTGTTTCAACTGCACACCCTTTCAGTCCTAGAGGAACAGAATGAATTAGCAGTCACAGGTGAGTCCAACCCAGGTTCTCATCGAGCCTGTGAAATGAGTTTTTCATTGTTTTGTGGCAATGGGGTTTGGCAGCAGCAACGTCATTGCTTTAAATGCCATTTCCAGGCCACTGGGCACATGACCAACATGGCTGACCAGCAGAGTCATGGCAGATGACCCTCCTCCCAGAGGAGGAAGAGGGAGGTTCTGCACTGATGGCCAAGGCTGGGACAATGCAGACGACAGGGCCACCTGGGCGGGGGGCAGCCAAGGGAGCATATCCACCCCCACCCCCCCAACACTTGGTAGGTGCAAGTTGCTACAAAACACAGGGTCCAAGAAAGGCAACTGGAGAAATGTGGGGCGGTTCAAGGCAACTCTTCCATCCGCAGCTGTGGGGACACCAGCCTGGAGATGTCTGTGTTGGGGTTCAGTGAAGGGCCTTCGGGCTAGCGGGTGTGCCACCAGGGTGGGCGAGACGAGCTTGTTTAGTCTCCCCAGCCTGTACAGACCTCGCTGATGCAGGGAACTGGCTGTGCCTACGTCTCACCTTGGGCCAAGCATTCGATACAACTGTCCTATACAAACCAACTTTCCTCTTTAAACTCTGACCATGCATCCAAACTCCCCTTGGAGAAACCCGTATTGGCCCACTGAAAGCAGAAGCTTGTACAGGTTGTACGGGCGTCTGGGAAAAAGGGGTGGAGGGATCTATAGGGCACACCTGACGCAATAAACATCTTACAAACACTGTGGTCTTTCTCGTGGCTTTCTTATTGCAACTAACGCCAGAGCTTGACAACATGCTGGATTCTAACTCACTTCAAAGCCCTTTTCAGCAGACGTCCCAGATGGGAAGTCAGGCTCGTTTAGTATCAAGAACCTTATGGCTCCTCTCAGCTTCAAGGCCAAGTACCATAGGCTTGGGGCTCCTCGGGTCCGGGTGCCACTCAGAATACCTGTGGAGGTGCCAGGATGCAGTGCTGTGGCCTGGAAATCTGGAAGTTCTTTATCTTCACTTGGTGAGGAATGGGGAATAAGAGAGCGAACTTCTGACTTACTACACTAGGAAGCTACTAGAGTTCCTGTCCAAAGCTGGCAAACCAAGAAACAGTAGTATAAGTTTATTATTTACAAATACAGAAACCAATATGAGACTAAAGAGCAAAAATAATTTAAAGCGGTTGCCTTAAAATTAATCGATGGGGACAGAAGTCAGGCTAGTGCTATCTTGGTGAAGGGGCACCCAGTCTAGGGTGCTGGAAGTGGTCTAGGTCTTAATCAGGATGGGGGTGGGTATACACATGGGTAGAAATGCATCAAGCTGTTACACCTAAGATTAAAAACTAAAATGTCTGTCTCCAAGGACAGGAATGAGGTTACAGGGAAACCTTTTTTTTTTTTTAAATTTCTTTCACTAAGGTACGTTCTCACAAGTTTCGGTCTCGCCTTCAGAGCACATCTTTCCCATTCTATAAAACAGAAGCTAGAAAAGTTACACAGCAGGTTGGTCTGCATGGAATTCCTCTGAGTAGTTTTTCTCGTCTCTTTTCCCAGCAGGCACTGCCAGCTGCTATTGTCTGAAATCAGCATCTAGTAATGCTGCCACGGGTACTGGCTTGCTTCACGGAGCTTGGAGACCAGCCTCCGACACCGGCTGGCCCAGCAGCCACTGAGCAGCAGCTCTGGACACCCCGTTAGTTGAACTGTGTTAAGCACAAGGAACTCAGTCCCTCAAGTCCTGAGATTCTGATCCAGTGGGTCAGGGCCCCCAAGTCAGGTTTCTATCAGCTTTCTTGGTGACGATTCTGATGCAGATGGACCCAGAAACTAAGTTTTGAGTAACCCTGTCTAAAAGGGCCCATACTGCTAGCAGGGGGTAAAAAAGTTACATACTATCTATGTATCTATATATCTATCTATATATATCTTACACAAAATATATATATATATGTATTTTGAAGTTTGTAGCAAAGGATAGTTTTATTAGAGCAGAAAGTTACAGCTCTCAAAACGAGAGGGGATCCCGGGGGTGCCCCAAAAGTATATTTTAAATCAACTTTTAGGTATAATTTGCACCAAAGATAATGCACCCATCTCAACAGTACCTTTTGACAAATGTATAGGCACCTGTGTAATCATTGCCTATCAAGATAAATAGTGCAAACACTCAGTTCCCTTTAGTCCCTCTGCAGTAGACCCACCCTCCTCCCTGACCTCCAGCCCCAAGCAAATCTGCATTCTGTCTTGTTTGGGTTAAGCTCAGCTTATTCTAGGATTTCACATGGAAGAGAAGTTCTCTTCTGTATCTGCTTTTTTAGCTGAGTGTAAGGTTTCAAGAACTTACTCATGTTGCTGTGCGTATCCATTCCTTTGTGGGACTGGATGAGGATTGATCTTTTGTCTAGTTGGTGATGTTACGGTTGTCTCCGGTTTGTGGCTATTATGAATACAGCTGCTACGGACATTTGCATACGAGTCTGTGCGTGGACATAGGTTTTCATTGCTCGCGGGTACCTGGGGGTGGGATTACTGGGTTTTATAGTAAAGGTACGTTTAATTTACAGGAAACTGCCCAACTGTTTTCCAGAGCAGCTGTACCACTTTACAGTCCCACCAAAACTCAGGAGTTCCGGTTGCTTCAGATTTTCATCAACACTTGGTGTGGCCAGTGTTGTCACATGAAGCCATTCCTGTGGATGTTTGGTGGTATCTCGTGGTTTGCGTGTGCATTTTCCTGATAACTGATACTACTGAGCTTCTTTCACGAGCAAACAGATCCTTGGAGGGAAAAAACTGGGAACTAGGACAATTTAAACATTACTTTTAGGGTTAATTATCAGAGAGCTAAGAAAGTTTTGAAAAAAATAAAGCCCACTTAGAAATGGAGGGGTTTTGCTTCAGTTTAGGCTGATGCTGCTGATAGAGCTGGCAAAGCAGCTTGGGGGGGGGGGGGCAGGGAATGCCTGATAACAGCAAAACAAAGGCCTTACTTAAGGACAAACTAAGCAGGACATCCCTGAGGGTCACGTGCTTTTACAAGTATGTGACTAAACTTACACTTTCGACTACAGTCACCAGATAACACTAAAGTACCAAAAATTGTATGAAACACAGAGATATTAAGATGGAGATTTTAGGGTTATTCTAACTCTGAGCGGCTGCCCTGATTTAAGGATGATTGTAGATTGTTGACCTCAGAGTCTAAATACTAGAAGTATCTAAGCAACACAATTGTTCCAAAAGGGTTTTTACAGTTGGATTATGCATTTAAAGACCCACACAGCGAAGTGGTCCACCATGGTGCCCAGCCAAGGGTGATCATGTCCAACATTGGCCGTCACTGACCCATTGGTGGCCCAGGAGCCTGTACCGCCCATAAATCATGACCCCAGTAACAGCTAGTAATACAGATATCTGTACAATTAGGCAGAGAACAGGTACTAAATTCCAATTATACAAACACAATGCCAAAACATATGATTCAATCATGTTTGAGTTTGGTCTCTAACTCCAGATATGTCACTAACCATAACAGGTCAGGTCCCAGGCAAGTCTTCCTTGTACCCGCCAGCTTAACCTTTTTCATCTTATTCTATATCCCAAGGCACAAAACCCAAAGCACAGACAAAGCAGACAGGAACAAAGCAGATACAAAACAATTTGTCAGCCACCAAAAATAGAAGGGAATGGGGGCCACAGGTGCCAGGTGAGTCTCAGATTAAACTCTATAATTCAATGTGTGAAACCAAATTCGGCAGAAAACCTTCCATTAATGAGGTGAGTGTCCCTTTTAGATGTAAATCTGATGTCACTTAAGAGTATCAGTTTCCCTTTCTGAGGCACACATTCCTCTGTAACATCAGATTTGTCATTTAGGGCAACAAAGACAAAAATAGTTCTTGAAAGGTGATCTTAGTTAACTACGTTGACACACTAATTTCACTACTTAATGTATTTTTGTTCCTCAGATTTTGTAGAATCACAAGTGATACCTGCCACCTACTGTTTAAATCACTGGGTATACAGCTCTTCAATGCAGAAATCGTTAGTTTCATTACGTTGGTTATACCATGTTTTTATTTCAGTTTGCTGAATGAGAAGAAATACAAAACAGAAACAAATGAAAAACCCAGTTTCTTCTGCAGCTCCAGTCTTTCTCTATAGCGGTTGTTACAGACAGCCCCGAAGTAGCTGGAATATAGTCAGCAAGGGACCCCGGTGGGACAACATTTCATTGGGAATCTTCGCAAGTATGTATTTATTTCCTTTGGTGCCTTGCACGATAAGGCACTATTAATGATATAACAGAATAGAAGAAATGCCCACAGCAATAGTTCTAGTGACAATTTACTAAACAAGTTACAGTTGAATGATGGTGGTGGTGATTGTTTCTTCCATTTTATTATTATTATTATTTTTTACAATAAGGGTGTAGCCTTTATACTCCACACACACAAAATAAAACAAGTGCTTATGAAAAAGTCCCTGCCCCCACCCCCCTTTTCAAAACACCCTGAACGTAGCAATTCAATATAACAGAAAAATCAAGACTTGTTTGATTTCAAATTTTCAATAAAAAAAGCAAAGTATATAATGCAATAGCTGTTCAACTTCCAACTCTAAGTAGGCACCGTTAAACAAACAAAAAAACTCCCGGTATTTAAATTTCTCCAGCACACATTCCAGTATAAATGCTCTGAACTGTAATCAGCTAGTTAATAATGGGAACAGAACCTTAGAACAGAAGTTACATTGCTTCCCTGCCCTCTTCTCTAATCAGTAGAGGGTGGAGGTGCTAGGGGATACAAAAGTCAGAGGAAGAAGAATTAAAAAGGAAAATTCCCAAAGCTGCTGCTGTTTGGACTAGAAACAAACACAGCATTTTACAAATGTTCAAAAAATCCCAACGCAAGTAACAATTCGTTCACTATCACTCCTACTAGGAAGAATAAAGACATGGGCGTCTTATATAAAATGGTACGTTCAGAATTGTATTATAGGTTCACCAGAAACTATGGATGTAGTTTTAGGCTTCATCAAGGAAAGCAAGTTCAGTTCAGATCAACTTAGATACTGTGCATCTAGCCTAGCTGGATCGGTGTCTGGAACTGCTCCCTGTGTCACCCCGAACAGCTGGAAACTAAACAAGAGTATGTAACGCCATTGGAAGCTTAAGGACTGAGGACATGTACACAGCTAATTATATCTCCCCTGCTTCGCGCTCTTCAGAGCTCCTCCTGTCTTCTGATCTGCCATTAGCGCTCTCATAGGACCGCTTCTTATCTTTTCGATCTCTGTCACGAGGTGATCTGTCTCTTGAATTCCTGTCTCTGTCACGTGATGCTAAGTCTTGGTCTCTGAATCTTTCTTTTGAGGATCTGAAAAATATTAATTTGAGGAGCAAAATGTGTTGGGAAACCCAAAATCCAAACGAGAGAATCGGATAAATATTAAGGTATTGACAGCTGAAGATATACAGAATACATCCAAGAAAGACAGGAGTCACTTTTCTGGCAGAGAAGAGCACTACCATATTTGATAAGGTACTAAAACTGGGAGATGGGTGAAAGCAAATAGCTAAGGGTCAAAACCATATGCTAAACTAGGGATTTATAGGATATTCTCACTATCTCAGAGGCAATCATAAAGCTTCTCCAATTCATAGCAAATGTATTTAATATAAAAATAATATATAGACAATACCTTAAAAAAGCAAACGATATAATCCAATTAAAAAACAATAGAATATAGATCCCAAATTGGATGGAAATCAGTGCCTTACATAGAAGGTCAGCAAACTTTGTTTTCTTTGCTGTCTGGCCAGAGTGTAAATATTTTTAGGTGTTGAGTTCAGACACAGTCTCTGTGGTATATTCTTCTTTCTTTTCTTTTCATCAGCCCTTTAACAATGTAAAGACCATCCATAGCTCGCTGCATATACAAAACCAAGCTAGGGGCCAGATTTGGCCTGCAGGCAACAGTTTCCCAACACTCGACTTAGATAAGAGAACTACTCAATTAATGACATGGTTTTAAATAACCATTTATTATTTTAAAAATCTGCTTTACTCCTCCTGAGTTAGCTCATTCAACCAACAGAAAAAAATCAGAATGGAAAACAGAGAAAGATGACCACACTATAATAAATTTTGATTAACCAAAACTGTTTCTTAATGCCGCCTTCTCTGTTCCCACACCCAACTTTAATAAGGCAAACAACAAAATAAGCTCATATCAAAGATTCAATCAGAAGGAAAACCAAAGGACATTATGGGATCAGAATTAATACGGAATCTTCTATACTTTCAACATCTAGAATAAATCAGTAACATATATTACATTTATTTTGTTCTTTACAGGTGACATGGTCCTTTTACATAATTATCTCACTTAATCCATGTTCAGAATTTGGATCTGAGGCCTGATTAAGTAATACTTTCAGCTTCTATGGCAAGAAAACACTACTAATATACTCAGTTTTAGAAATATAGTTGAGGATTAAACCAAAAAGGTTGAAAGATTAAATAATGTCAACTTGGAGCATTCTACTTAAGGTTTTAATAACCTTAATTTAAAAATTACGTGAGAAAAAGAAAAATCACACAGTGCACATCTGGTTATATCAATCCCTTTGTAAGAATGGAATATGGAGAGAGAGATGATGACTAAAAATAAGGACATGAGTTGCTGGTAAGTCCCAGAGGTTGGTAATAATAATAATTGAGAAAATGACTATGAGATGAGCATCAACTAATGTTTTGTGAGAGATTAGAATGGCAGTTCTCATTCACTATTTCACTCAAACTACCAGTAATAGAGCAGGTAGTTTCACTACCTCTGCTTAGTAGATGGGGAAAGAAAGGTGGGATCATTAGATTATTTGGCCAAGGCCACACTGGACCCAAGTAGTCTGGCTCTGGAGTCTGCACTATATGTGTCTGAACAGAGCAGGAAGCAGAAAAATGCAAATGGCCCTCATTTACCAACAGTAACTGCTGCCAGGGAAAGGCCATGAACAGAAACTACTTATATCAGAGACCAATATTTCAGGAGAATAGGAAATCATAAAGGACTCGTAACTAGGCCTTTTACCTTGAAAATTAAACTCAAATATGTAGCGATAACTTTACGTTATATGTGATAACATTGGTTTTAACAGCAATTGTCTGATAATTTTTGGTAAAAGCAAAGGATGTTGCTTTGAAAGAGTAATATGAATATCAAGATTAGAAGTGCTCTTGAGAAAAGCAAAACTTTTAATAGTTTTACCAAAAAAATCCTCTTTATGAACATGCTGAAAATATCAGATTAGGGGTGTCATGTAGTAAGATGGAAAAACTTACAAATGTAGGAAGCATTTGGGGCTAGGATAACACAATCTCAGAGGGGCATCCTTCCATCCTCAGCACCAGTAAAGACAGTTAAGAGGTCACAGACACCAAAACCAACGACGGGTGGGCAGGCTTTCAAGACGAATTGTCTACACCTTCCATCAACCAGCAGAATGATTCACAAAATTTACAGTGCATTTAAGACTCACGGAGAATTTTTTTTTAATGGGTTTTTCGGGGCACTGCAATGCATGCCCACAGTTTTAAGAATATGAGATAAGTGGCCTATAAATCATACTGTAAGGAATTCTGTCTCTTCTAAAGTCCCTGCTCATTCTCTACATGTGCCTGATATTCACTGTGTAGTATCTTTCTCCTACTGGTTTTACCTATTCAAATTTTACCCACTTTATTCAAGCTTTATCTACTACCTGAAGCTATTTTTTATTACTCTGGCATTTCTCTCATCTAAACTCCTGTCTTACTTGCTGTATGATATACAGTTTAACACTTCATAATGTGCTAGGTCTTCTACTTGTCTGATTATTGTCAGAGAAATGTTGGTCCTGTGTTCTACCTCACGTGAATCAAGTTGTTCAACTGTTATATTTCTTTGTTATTTTTTACTAGGCCTAGTATGGTAGAGATTATACAATTCTTATTGATTAAAGTCACCTTAAGAACTATTGGTTTGCTAAGATAGAACTTAAATGTTCTCACTAAAAAAAGAGATAAATATGTGAGGTGATGATGTGTTAATTAACTAATGGTGGGAATCCTTTCATGATGCATACGTACACCAAATCACCACAATGTACACTTTAAATATCTTAGAATTTTATTTGTCAATTAAACCTTGATAAAGAAAAAAAGGGACCTATTTGGAACAAGGCAAGAATATAAGAAACAAAATATTGATTGGGAGTCTATTAACCAACTCAGCTTGTGAGTGGTTTCAGGGAATGGCTAGTTGAGGGTCCAAAAAAAAAATAAAAAATAAAAAAAAATTTTTTTAAATGGCTTTCTGTGGATTCTGTCATGGGCTTTATGTGGAGTAATCCACAGAAAATTTAATTAAGACTAGTAGGTACCAGGCACTCAAAAAATGTTTATCATACATATGCTTAAGAAGAGTTGTCAAGAAAAAAGCAATTTGAAACATGGTTTATGTTCCACAGAAATGAACTGGCTTAAGGGCTATCACCTGACCTGAGTTTTAGGAGTTTGGTCTATACAGACTGAGTGCTAAGATTCCACCACATTCTAATCCTTTGCCTGATTAAATATTCAGGTTCTTATATATACTTTAGCTTGGGTCTGCCCTCCGTGCACCTTTTGAATTTCATGCCAAGGAAGCCTAACTTTCTTAAGGTTCTGAATCTGCTGTCAAGCTAACTGTATATAACAATGCATACCTACAGTGCAGATTAAACAAGAATATACTAGAATGTGTCTGCTCTGAAAAAGTGCACCAGCTCAAAGATGTTTGGAAAACAGTAAGTCAAACAAAGCTGAACAACTCTTAATGAAAGGACTTCTCAGAGCCCCTAGTTCATCACCACATAAGGAAGAGACTATTGGTACCTAAAATTATTTGCCCATAAAGTACTTTTTTCCCCAAGACACACTAAGAAGAGAAAGGCAACAACCTCTGCACATATTTGTTCCAATTGCTTACTCTGGCTCATAAGTATATTCTTTCTGAACTACCCAAATCATCAGGGGGAAAATGTTATACACCCACACACAAATGTGTACATATTACCAGATGCAAGTTTCAAACCAACAGTATTCCAATTCTAAACCATAAAGGTAGTTCATTATCCTTTTACGGACACTTCAGTACCTCCTCCTGGATCGCTCTCTGCTCCTGTCTCTAGAACTGTGTCCACTTCTCTGGTGGCTGCGGCTTCGGCTTCGGCTGCTAGAGCGAGATCTGTGGCGATGGCGTTTCTCGCGAGATTTGGATCGAGTTCTCCTCTTCCGTTCCCGTGACATGGAGCGAGACCGATGTCTGCGATGCTCTCTGGACCTGGATCTACAAAAAAACATTTGATTTAGATTTTAGCTTTGTCAGCACTACATTTCTCAATTACTGATGCCTTTTATTTAAAGAGAAACTATCCCTCAGTAGCTTTACTTAATGCCACTTCTATTTCAAGTCAGCTAAATCTGCACTAAAATAAATCGATGGTATATTAAACAACTACATACTGGGATTTCAAAATAAAAATTAAACATTAGCTGTCAAAGGTCAATCAGTATTGTATAAATTTACATCAGGAATATAAAAAAGTTAAGGAAACAATCTATATCATAACTACACACCAGGGATTGTATTATCTAGATGCTGTATGGATTTAATTTTGTTTCAACTTCTAAGATTTTTAGTATGTCTTAGACATAGTATGTACCTGATGGACATGGATGGAAAGGGGGAGAGGTATGAAAAAGGCTGTTGTTTAGAATAAGTTACTAACTCTCTCTGAATTACAGAGACCATCAGAATAAGTCTGAATGTTCACAATATACCTAGACACAGTATAACGTTTGAGGAAAAACAATGGGGAAGAAAGGTATGTAATTTTGTTAAGAGTCACTTAATTTGACAGTAAGTTCAAAAAGCAGGTGATACAATTTACAGACTGAGATTATTTTCAAATGATTATTTTGTTAAGTAAAGTTTAAAAGCATTCAGCATATGTCAACATTATAGTCAACAAAAGGCATATTTTGTGGACATACTATCAACTAGAGTTGAACAGAATATTTCCGTAACTGAAAAAAACATTTCTCAAAAAAAGCAGGGGGAAAAAAACATAAAATTTATTCAACACAAGTTTTACCAAATGATATTTTAACCACTCATTTTGAGGTATTATAATGAATCTATTGCTTGCAATGTATAATTTAATTCTTTTTAAAAATTCTAGACAAGTGATTCATTTATTCAAAAAATATTTACTGAGTGCCTATTGCACTGTTCTAGGTACTAGGGAGACTGAGTAGCAGACAAAGTCCTTAGCTTCATGGAGCATATACTCCAGAAAGATGTCTACACACTGATGTAGTCAGTAAATCAAGATAGGTCAGGTAGTAAAGAAATGATATATTAAGAAGAATAAAAACTGAGAGAGAAACGAGGTGATAATCTTTTATCTAGAATAAGCAGGAAAGGCTTTCCTGACAGGATAGCATTAAGCAAAGAAGTAAGGGATGAAGTAAGGGAATCAGCTCATCAGCCACCTCAGAGAAGAGTGCTTCAGGTAGAGGGCGCACAGGTGCAAAGGCCCTGAGGTGGGAGAAAGCTCAGCATGTTGAAGGGCAGGAATTACTGAGGAAAGAGGAGTAATTCTGGGGGTCTTACAGGCAGCATGACCAAGTACTTTATCATTCAAACCAGGAGGTTCTCAATGATAAATTACACACAGGGAAGAGAGCTATAAATAAATATGTGGCGACAAGACATAAACTGGAACAACCCCGGGCAGACTGATCACTACTTAAAAGCTACGGTTAGTTTTGTTCCAACTTGGGCAGAATGACGCCTCCAAAGGGTGGCAAAAAGAAGAGGGCCATCCTGCCACCAACGTGGTGACCAGAGAACACATCCTCAACATTCACAAGCTCCTCCATGGAGTGGGTTTCAAGAATAAGAAAGGAACAGAGAAGAACTACAAAAACAACCAGAAAACAATGACTAAAATGGCAATAACTACATACCTATTGATAGTTACCTGAAATGTAAATGGACTAAATCCTCCAATCAAAAGACACAGGTGGCTGAATGGGTAAAAAAACAAGACCTGTACATATGTTGTCTATAAGAGACCCACTTCAGATCAAAAGACACACACACAGACTGAAAGTAAAGGGATGGAAAAAGCTATTTAATGAAAAGAAAAGAAGAAAGAAAAAAAAAAGCTGGAGTCATAAGCCATACTTATACCAGACAAAACAGACTTTAAAACAAAAGTTGTAAGAGGGACAAAGAAGAGCATTTCATAACAAAGGGATCAATCCAACAAGAGGATATAACTCTTGTAAAAACATCTACATACCCAACGTAGGGGCACCGTAATATATAAAGTAAATACTGACGAACGTAAAGGGAGAGATCAACAGTAAGACAATAGTACGGAACTTTATTTAACACTCCACTGACATCAACAGATAGATCATCCAGAAAATCAACAAGGAGGGGCCACCAGGTGGCTCAATTGGTTAGAGCCCAAGCTCTGAGCAACAGGGTTGCCAGTTTGATTCCCACATGAGCCAGTGAGCTGTGCCCTCCGCAACTAGATTGAAGACGACTTGAGCTGAGCTGCTGCTCAGCTGCCAGTGGGTGGATATATGGCTCAGCTGGTCAGAGCGCATGCTCTTAACAACAAGGTTGCCAGTTCAACTACCACATGGGATGGTGGGCTGTGCCCACCTGCAGCTAGATTGAAAACGGCAACCAGACTTGGAGCTGAGCTGTGCCCTCCACAACTAAGATCGAAGGAAAACAACTTGACTTGGAGCTGATAGGTTCTGGGAAAAAACACACTGTTCCCCAATAAAATTAAAAACAAAAACAAACCCCACTTCTCAAAAAAAAAAAAAAAAAAGAAAATCAACAAGGAAACAGTGGCCTTTAAATGACACATTAGACTAGATGGAATTAATAGGTATTTTTACAACATTCCACCGAAAAGCAGCAGAATATACTCTTTTCAAGTGAACATGGAACATTTTCCAGGATAGACCACGTTAGGCCACAAAACAAGTCTCCATAAATTTAAGATCGAAATCCCATCAAGCATTTTCTCTGATGACAATGTAATGAAACTAGAAATCAATTACAAGAAAACTTAAAAACACACAAACACATGAAGGTTAAATAACATGCTACTAAATAATGAAAGGGTCAACAATGAGACCAAGGAAGGAATCAAAAGATATCTTGAGACAAATGAAAATGAAAACACAACAATCCAAAATCTATGCAAAACAGATAAAGCAATTCTAAAAGGGAAATTTATTGGAATACAGGACTACCTCAAGGAACAAGAAAAATCTCATATAAACAATCTAACCTTACACCTAAAGAAACTAGAAAAAGAACAAATGAAGCCAAAGTGAGTACAAAGAAGGAAATAATATAGATTATAGAGGAAATAAAACAGTCTAAAAAAACAATAGAAAAGATCAGTGAAACCAAAAACTGGTTCTTTGGAAAGATAAAATTGATAAACCTTTAGCCAGGCTCATCAAAAAAAGAGGGTCCAAATAAGTAAAATCATAAATGAAAGAGAAGTGACAACACCACAGAACTACAAAGGAGTATAAGGAAATGCTATGAACAATTATATTCCAACAAATTGGACAACCTGGAAGAAATGCATCAACTGCTAGAAACATACACTCTTCCAATGCTAAACAGGAAGAAACAAAAAATTTGAACAGACCAATAACTACTAATGAAATAGAACCAGTAATCAAAGAACTCCTAACAAACAAAAGCCCTGGTGAATTTTACCAAACATTCAAAGAAGAATTAATACTTATCCTTTTCAAATTATTAAAATCAACTGAAGAGAAGGAAAGCTCTCAAACTCATTTTACGAGGCCATCATTACCCTGATACCCAAACCTAGGCAAAAACACTACAAAAAAGGAAAAGTATAGGCCAATTTGCCTGATGGTCATAGATACAAAAATCCTCAACAAAATATTAGGAAACCAAATTCAGCAATATATTAAAAAGATCATACAACATGATCAAGTGGAATTTATTCCCAGGATGCAAGGTTGGTTCAATAGCCACAAATCAATTAACATGACACACCACATAAACAAAATGAAGGATAAAACATGATCATATCAACAAATGCAGAAAAAACATTTGACAAAATCCAACATCCATTTATGATAAAAAAAAAAACTCTCTCAGTATAGTATTAGAAGTCCTGGCCACAAAAATCAGACAAGAAAAAGAAATAAACAGCACCCAAATCGGAAAGGAAGAAGTAAACCTGTCATTATTTGAAGATGACATGATATTATATATAGATAGCCCTAAAGATAACGCACAAAAACTATTAGGATAAATGAATTCAGTAAAGTAGAATACAAAATCAATATTCAGAAATCAGTTACGCTTTTATACACCAATAATGTACTATCAGAAAGAGAAATTAAGAAAACAATCCCATTTCCAATTGCATCAAAAAGAATAATATCTAGGTAACTATTGCATTGTTCTGTACACCTGAAACTAACAATAAAAAAAAATTAAATAAATAAAAAAAAAAAGAATAATATCTAGGAATAAATTTAACCAAGGAGGTTAAAGATCTGTACTCAGAAAACTATTAAAACACTGAAGAAAGAAATTGAAGATATAAATAAATGGAAGTATATATACCATGCTCATGAATAGGAAGAATTAACATTGTTAAAATGTCCATACTACCTAAAACAATCTACAGATTCAATGCAACCCTATCAAACTTCCAATGGTATTTTTCATAGAACTAGAACAAATAATCCTAAAATTTATATGGAACCACAAAAGACCCCAAATAGCCACAGCAATCTTGAGAAAGAACAAAGTTGGAGGTATCACGCTACTGGATATCAAACTATACTACAAGGCTATAGTAATCAAAATGACATGGTAAAGGTATAAAACACACACATAGATCAATGGAACAGAATAAAGATCCCCAAAATAAACTCATGCCTGTATGGTCAATTAATCTATGAGGAAGGAGGCAAGAATATACAAAGGGGTAAAGACAATTTCTTCAATAAATGGTGCTGGGAAAACAGTACAATTACATGCAAAAAAATGAAACTGGATCACTCCCTTACACTATATGCAAAAATAAATTCAAAATGGATTAAAGACTTAAATGTAAGACCTGAAACCATAAAACTCCAAAAAGAAAATTTTGCAGTAAACTCTCTGACATTTCTCTTAGCAGTATTTTCTGAATATGTCTCCCCAGGCAAAGGACACAAAAGAAGAATTAAACAAATGGACCTACATCATACTAAAAAATTTTTACACAGCATAGGAATCCATCAACAAACAAAAACACAATCACTGACAGGAGAATATGTGTCACCAATGATACATCTGATAAGGGGTTAATATCCAAAATATATAAAGACTTCATACAACTCAACACCAAAAAACCAAACAATCTAATTAAAAAATGGGCAGAAGGCTTGAATATACATTTCTTCAAAGAGGGCATACAGATGGCCAATAGACATATAAAAACATGTTTTCACTAATCATCAGGAAAATGCAAATTAAAACCACAATGAGACATCACCTCACACTTATCAGAATAGCTATTATGAATAAACAAACAAGTGTTGGTGAGGATGAGGAGAAAAGGAAACCCTTGTGTACTGCTGGTGTGATTGTAAATTGGTGCAGCCACTATGGAAAACAGTATGGAGGTTCCTCAAAAAATTAAAAATAGAATTACCATATGACCCAACAATCCCACTTTTGGATACTGATCCAAAGAAATCCAAAACACTAATTTGAAAAGATACATGCGCCCTTATGTTCACTGCAGCACTATTTACAACAGCCAAGATACGGAAGCAACCTAAGGGTCCATCGACAGACGAATGGATAAAGAAGATGTGGTACATATAGACAATGGAGTATTACTCGGCCACATAAAAGAACGAAATATTACCATTTGTGACAACATCGATGAACCTAGAGTATTATGCTAAGTGAACTAAGTGAGAGAAAGACAAATACCATATAATTTCACTTATATGTGGAATGTAAAGCAAACAAACAAAACAGAAACAAACTCATATATACAGAGAACAAATTAAATTGATGGTTGCCAGATGAAAGGAGGGTTGGGGGGATAGGTAAAAAGGATGACAGGATTAAGAAGTACAAATTGCCAGTTATAAGAACAGTCATGGGGATGTAAAGTACAGCATAAGGAATATAGTCAATAATATTGTAGTAACTACATATGGTGTCAGATGGGTACTAGACTTACCGGGGTGATCACTTCGTAAGGTATATAAATGTCTAATCACTATGTTGTACACCTGAAACTAATATAATATTGTATGTCAACTGTAATTGAAATAGAAAATACAAATTATTTCTTAAAAAAGCTATGGTGAGGATTTCAACTTTTATGACTGAAGTGGAATACCTCTGGAAGGTCTGAAGAGGGCTGACATGACTTCAATTTTTAAAAATCTCATTCTGGTTGATGTATGAAAAACAGACTGAGGTGGAGAAGGGGGTGGGCAAGGACAGGAATGAAGAGACCAGTTAAGAGGCTATCATAACACCAAGAAGTGGTACAAATTAAATTTCTGGTTTGAATATCTAAATACATTCTATGTACAAATAGATTAAATATCTTTGTCAACAAAGGGACCAGACTGCAGTAATCAACCAGTAAACAAGAACAGTACCATCACTTAATGTTTCTACTTCTCATTCTGGATTTGAGAAAGTCACAACAATATAAATTTGCTAACACAACTGATCCTATTTATTCATGTCTTAGTTTTTTAGTGTTTTAAGCAGAAAAACCACTGAAAGAGTCTAAAAAGCACTAACGGGCATCTAACAGAAATGTAAGGTTTTTCCTAAGGACAAATGCTCTAGTTTACAGGGCAGAGTTCTTGGAAATAGTTAATCTTTAGAGCTAAGAGTACTCAGAAGTTTCAAAATGATGTGATTTAAACAAAAGAGATGGTAAGATTTGAAAAAGAATGAGAAAGGGCATTCTAGGTGGGAATGAATTCATGAGACAGGCTGAAGGATAAAAATGAGAATGGCAAGTGAAGAATTAACATGAAGCACACCATGTTTTCCCATCTTTGTCAGACAGAAAAAAATTAGTATAAACTATAAAAAAAGGTTTTAAAAAGCCCCAAATATTAAAGGCAAAGGTCAAAAGAAAGTGTTATCTTGTCCTCTTCCTCTTTAAGGCTATAAGTGCCCCTTTGAAAATTTTGTGATCAAAAAGCTTTGTAACTTATAAAGGGATAAGTAATAAACTCACATAAAATCAGGATCAGGGCATACACTAAACATTTTAGTTTCCCTAATAGCCCACCATGGATCCCTCCTTTTCAAAAATGTCTCCCACTAGTCAACCTACTTATTTTCAACAGGTACAGCCTCTTACTTAGAATGTTTTTTAGATGTACCACCCAAACTGATTTTTAAAAATCCTGTCACATATTTACTTTGAGCTCCTAAAAATTTTAAAGAAATATTCTGAAATATTTTTAGCATTCCTTCTAATTCCAGAGCACTGTGTATAATTTTACTCTGATAAAGCTAAACTGTAGTTCATGCATATCTTCTGACCAATTTCTTTTCAAAGGACATTGCTCAAACCTGAACTAACAAAAGAATTAACAGTATGAATCTATTAATTTTCATTCATTTAAAAAAGATATTTAATCTATAAAAACTACCTTTGAAAACCACAGCTTCACTACTTAATACTTATCTTGTATAATACCTACCTTTTGGGATTCTTGCTATGTGATCGAGACCTAAAAAAAAAAAAAAAAAGAAAATCTATTTTTAGAAAAATAACTATGAGAATAAGTACAATGTGCTGTTACATTAATTTTTTTCTGATTTCTATTTTTTTTATATTAATCTTTAAATATAAGGCATGTATTATAAATAATAAGGCACACAAATTTTTCCACAATGCACCACCATGAATTCTGCAGACTTTACCACCCTGGCATATGAGCTCCCTATGCCAAGAGGATACCTAGCCCTTAAAATAGAGTACACTCCTAGAAAACTAAAAAAACGTACATTACAACTCACTAATTCTCCAGAAACCATTTCCCAACCTGGAAAAAATTCTGTGTTATCTCTCTGTCATTCTTTCTTTCTCTCTGGGAACAGAGTAAAAAATTTCTATGATTTGAGGTGCATATACTTTGGATCTACAACTTCATGTTATAATTCCTAGAACACCCAATTCTATCTTACAATATCTTTCTTAACATGATACATGACACTCTTATATACTCCTCACATTTCCTACCACACAATAAACACTCAATAAACAGTAATAGCTAGTATTATCAGGAAGTCACAGGGATTTTTTTTTTTTAATTGAGAATATATAGGCTTTGGACTCAGCCTGAAGTAAGCTTTAGCTCTGGTTCCCCCACTCACCATGTGTGACCTAGGCAGATGATTAGATGAACTAATATAGGTAAATCCTTAGCACAGTGCACGGCACATATCAAACGCTCAGTGAATAGTAATTTTTATCATTACCTTTTTCACTACCATAGTTGGAATCCCATCTTGTCTAATTTTTAACTCACTTGTAATTTCCTCATCTTCCATACTTAAGTTACAATAGTTCCTCAAGTTACAGGTTAAGTTTAAAAAGAATTAAAAAAAAAATTCTGAAATACATTACATTTTATAATCAATGTTAAAAGAAATTTTCCAGATGGTAACAAAGGACTAAGGACATCTACAGTTGTGAAAATGTGGTTCAGCAAAAAATGTTTTTCCTAATTTGACTCACCTCAGTTAAATTTTAACTTAAGCTGACTGAGATTTCCAATGCCATTTACCTTGTCTTAAATATTACAATACTGGGCAATAATACCATAAAATCCAAGTGTACACAAAAGAGAACGGGGATAAAGCTGAGGTAAAATTTATGGTACATAAACAACAAGCATATCAATAGAGGAATAACTGCACTTCCCCTAAAAAGGAAGATGTCCACATACAGCTTTGTTTCATTTTGTCATTTCAGTGCAAAAAGATTACCTGCTATAAACCATGAAACACAAATGAATTCAGTTTAAACGTTTTGAAATAGACTAAGTATATAATACTCAAAGCTTGGAGGAAGTTGGCATGACCGATCACATATTATAAAGGGTTTTAATTAACTTAGGCATCAATAGCTGCTGAAGAGAAGTCATATAAATTTCAGAGATACAATTAAGAAAACACTAGAAATTAGTACAGGTAAATCTTGTGGCATACCTGTTCATCCGAAAGTTGTTATAATAAACATGAGGTACAAAGAACGTGGCCATCACTATGCCACGCAATTTGTTGCCAATGGGTAGAAGTGACTCAGAACATTTAAACATTCTAAATATGAAGATTTACAGGATTCTATCAACTAGTGAATACCAATATAAAAATATTCATGTATGCACATTTATCTATTATTAAATTAATAATAGTTTATAGCTCCTAGAATTGAAGAAATATAGAATGGAAGTACAATATAAAATAATCGATAAAACCCCAAACCTTTTATCAAGTATTAAATATATCATAAAAATAAATACAGTTCTATGCCAACCTGGTCCAAATGTAGCCCATTATGAAAATCAGAGGGCTAGAGAAGGGCTTTGTTATGTATCTTACAAAACATAAAGATGTAAAGCACTCTTGATTACCTCCTTCCATGCATTCTGAAGGAAATCACCTTGACTTAAATGGCCACAGGTTAACATACTCACGTAAACACTGTTTTGCATGGTAACATTCTGAAGAGTAAACAAAAATTTCCCATGTCCAGATTTTTTAACATTTTGTGCCAATCACATATCTTTTTAGAACCAAGGGATCTTCAACTTCAGATAGTTGGACTATTCAACTCATTACTCCATACCTCCTCAGCTTCTCCCTTTCTTCTCTCTCTCTTTCTTCTCTTCTCTTCAGGCGTTCCTGGTTTCTTTTCTCCTGCTTCTCAGCTACAACTCTCTTCAAAAACAATGACAATTTAAATAATGTAAATAAGGAGCATTATTTACTGCGTCTATTCTTAGTGAGCATTATCCTAAACTTTACCATATCTGGTTTCCAATATTGTACCAGTAACATTAAAATCTGTTTAATAACAATCCAATTTGAAGTTTTGACAGTTGTAATCATTAGGCTTACGAGTCTGGTTTTCAAAATCTTTCCCCTTTTGGGGAACATTTTTAAAATTTCATGGTTCTCTATGACTTTTTAATGATATTTTAAAATCACTTCTGTAAGATTTTTCTCCTCTGAATGTTTTCTAGTATTATTTTGTATTTTTATAAGAAATCAATCATTATACATCACTATAAGTTCCTATGTTCTATGATTTCCAATACAGAAATGTCTTCTACCACTTCCAATTATCATCCTGATGTTGCTTTTAAAAACACTACTAAAACACCAACAGTTGTGTTGGCTTATATCTGCTAGGTTTACATTTGCAAAGACTCCCAAGAAGGTGCCATTTTTGAGTTTTAACCTGAGTCCAATAGCCATTTGCTACAGTGAAACTCGTCATTTAAAAACACGTAACTGAAGAACATTCTAGCTACTCAGAATACTGAAAACTCACTGTTAGCTACAATAACCACCGACTCTGCTTGTTTACCTCTTCAGAAATACTTTTTGCTTGCTTATATTCTCAAAAGCACTCAGATGAGTAAGAACTATGTTGCCTTTCTTACAATAGCCTACATATTTAAGTGATAGTCCTTTTTAAAATAGGTTTCATTTTAAATCTTTTTGAAATGGGGGCAGAAGTGTAAAATAAAACTAGAAGTTATAAAAATTTGATATTTAGTGAAGAACTACAAAATATTTCTAATAAATATTGGACTCATTTTCTCAGTCTTCCTTTAAAGTATTATATTATTAATTTCACAGAAAAAAATGTTTAGGGGATTCTGTAAAAGAATTTAGAACCCAGTTTGCAAGATTCCTAATTTAACATATCCTCCCCGATTACTACCTCCCCGATAAAGGGGTTAGTATTTAAAGGTCTGTTTCTTAAATATCATCCATTAAACCAGCTATTATCTCCATTAAAATCCTACACTATTCAATATGAATTGTTAAAGAGAATCACAGTTAAGAATACTATACAAAAAGACAAGTGACTAAGTTGGATAAAGTGAGGGATATTAATTTACCAATGTACCTTTAATTCTTCAAGCTTCTCTCTTATTTCAATAAATCCCAGGTGCAGTTTACCCCCAAAATGATCAGCCAGGCGCCTATCATTATCATGAAGACCTAAGTATGCAGAGCAGACTTCACAAACTCGGAGTTTCTGCTGTTGGAAACTGGAAGCTGGCATTGAATTCCGATAAACTTCCTAAACAAAAGAAAAACAATGTTCACATAAACCTGACTGGAAGTCATACAATGAAAGAAAATATAGTATGTTTATACTGAAAATGTTTTCTAATGAATACACTAAACATGGCTATTTTGTCATGAAAATTATAGATTCCCCCTTAACCTCCATCTTCTGTCCTCAGAACCTCTCCACTGGAGAGAAAATATCAGAGCCTTGAATACCTTTTGCCAAGAACTACCATAACAATTCCACTGTGATACAGAGAATGACTTTCTAAAGATTTTCTCAATGTTCTACAACGTTCTGTTTTATATAATTTTTGTTTTAAAAAAATGAGATGCAGCAACCCCCAAAATGTACATCAGCAAAGGATCAAGGAAGGAGAAGTCACCCGCGCTTGCAGGGAGGGAAGCACGTTTTCCGTATTGTTACAGCTTCCTTCCAACTGCCTTCTTTCCCACAGATCATTTCTCCCCCTTTGGAAATGTGGACAGCTCATACAAATAATAAACTTCCTACTAAAAGGAGTGGTTCTGTAAGACGAGATGAAAGGTGCCTTGCTGAGATTTAGATGTCTTGTACTCAACCATTTTATTTATATTAAGTTCATTAGTGAAATAATATTAGTGAGTTTGTGTACCCACTGTACCCTTTTTTCCTGACAAGAACTCCCGTTTTTTGTTTGAGGCAGCAGCATACACAGCTAAAAACATTACATTTCCACACTTCTGTGTAGCTTTGGCTAAGGAGATTAAGTGGACATTCCTAGACAGAATCTACAGAAAAGCTCTTAGGGAGTCAACAGATTCAGACAAAAATTTCCAAGGGAGAATCTGTGAATCAAAAAGGGATGAGAAACAACACAGTTTCAAAAGTGTCAATACTGACATACTTAATTAACACAGCAACTTCACAGTGGAAAATTAGGCAATATCACCAGAAATGGGACAAACCACTAACATGTGCCTTCTGATAGGACGTAACATTACTTCAGTGGTACTCCTGTCAAAATCTAAGCAGGAAGCAAATTAGACAAACTTAACTGAAGGACATTTTACAAAATAACTGGCCTACTCGTTTCAAAACTGTCAAGATCATGTCAGACAAAGAATGAGATTCCAGATTAAAGGAGAATGAAGAGACATAACAAATAAATGCAACACATAATCCTGGACTAGATCTTAAAGGAAATTTTCTTTCTTTTATGAAAAAAGAACATTATAGAAATAATTAGCAAAATTTGAATAAAGTTTTCAGATTAATTGTACTGTAGCAATATTAATTCTTGATTCAGATAATTGTACTGTAATAAAATATCCTTGTTTTAGGATATACACATTGAAGTATTTAGGGATAAGGAGGCATCATATACCTGTAACTTACTGTCAAATAGTTTAAATACACACAAACACACACCCGAGAATGATAAAGCAAATGTAGTAAAATGTTAACATTTGGGGAGTGTGGGTGAAGGATACAGGGGATTCTTTATACTATTTTACTTTTCAAAAATATTTCAAAATAAAACAATTTTAAAAAGGACAACACAAATGCATGATACTCAAAGGCAAGTCAACTAAATTTAATGCCTTGTTTTTCCTCCTCTTTCTACTTACATACAGAGAAAAGACTTCAGGCTTAGTGGCCATATTGCTACTGCAAATTGTTAAGCATAAAGATGAATCCACTCAGGTAAGCATGGCTGAACATAAAGCTAGAGTGGCTTGTATGCTAAATGTCATCATGGAGCTGCTGTACCAGCCTGACCTCCCTAACCTTGTGTATTTATTAAATGAGAAAAACAAAACCTTTCTTTGGTTAAGCCATTGTTAAGTTTTCTATTATGTGCAGCTAAACACAATCTGTAATGAGCAAGTAAATTTTTTAATGCACTGTCTTTAGTAAAAATCAACTGATAACACATAACAGGCTAAAGATGTCAAGTTACTGTGTACAGCTGATTCTTGAACACGGGTTTGAGCTGCGTGGGTCTCTTTATATGCAGATTTAAAATATATTGGGAATTTTTTTGCAGATTTGTGCAAATGCAGTCAGGTTTATGATCAGGACTGCCCTTATCTATAAAGCAGCTAACCCTGAGCCTTGAAGGGAGAAGGTGAACATCAGTTGCCAATCTTTTGGTTGTACAACAGGATGGCCTGGACATTGAGAACCCTTTTTCTGGAGTCCATCAATGCTTTGAAGTCAGGAAATAACCTCACCTGTAAGGGGCTGCCTTTTAAAGTTCTTTTGATATTGGACAGCGCCTGTGGCCAACCCAGACCCCATAAGTTCAACACTGAAGGGGTCAAAGTGGTCTACTTGCCCCCCAAAACACATCTCTTAGTTCATTCTCTAGATCACGAGTCCTAAGGACCTGTGAGGCTCACTCGGTACTCGTCACCACTATGGAAGAAAACCCTGATAGAGAGAACATCATGAAAGTCTAGAAGGATTACACCACTGAAGATGCACGGTTGTTACAGGAAAAAGCTGTGATAGCCATCAAGCCCGAAACAATAAATTCCTGCTTGAGAAAACTGCCCAGATGTTGCGCATGACTTCATAGGATTTACAACAGAACTGATAAAGGAAATCATTAAAGAGACTCTGTACATGATAAAAAGGTGAGAGGTGAAGGGTTTCAAGATAAGGATCCTGGAGAATTTCAAGAGCTAACAGACAGGACACCAGAGGGATTAACAAGACGACTTGATGGAGATGAGCGCTTCTGAACCAGCGCCAGACGATGAGGAAGAAGACGCAGAAGCAGCAGCGTCAGAACACAAACTGACATCAGACACTGGCAGAAGGGGCCGATTACTCAAGACTTCTTTTATTTACAGCACGGACCCTTCTATGACACAGGCACTGAAACTAAAACCAACAGTGGAAGAAGGATTGGTGCCTTACAGGAACATTTTTAGAGAAATGAAAAAAGCAAAACAGTCAGACAGAAATTACGATGTATTTCCATAGTTACACCCCGTTTGCCTGCCTATTCTGCCTCCCCTTCCACTTCCCCCCGAGTCAGCAAGACCAGCCCCTCCTCTTCCTCCTCAGCCTACTCAGTGTGAAGATGACAACGATGAAGGCCTTTATGAGGACCCACTTCCACTTAGTGAACAGCAAATACTCTTCATGCCGTACAGTTAAACTTACCTGCTGTCTGTGTGTCTTCATGTGAAAATAACAACGTACAGCAAGAGCTGTATGAGACGTGTCATGGTCATTATCACCTAAGTATTCATCGTGTAGAATGTCATGTACAAGCTTGTACTGAGTGGCTAGCCTATCCTTACATAGGCGTAAGGTGGTATTTAATATAAAATTAATAACATGTTACTTTTCTTACTGTTTTATAACTTTGCTTTCAAGGAAATACATTACTGTATAGCATGCCCCCCAATTGGAGAAACTGCCTATCAGCCTACCATCACAGGTAAGCAGTTGTTTAAAAAAAAAAAGTTAACAATATTTTCAATACTGCATTATGAACATGACTGGAATACTGTATATCATAAAAAATTTTATAATGCTTCATTAGTGTATAGGCTATTACCATGAAACAACTGTATTCATCACACTAGGCTACTATGAAGCAGTTACACTGCTGCTGCTTCGCTGTCAATGCATGAATCGTTATACCTGCACATAAATTATTTTTTCACACTATCTTTTCATTTTTGATTGTCAGTGTTAGTGATACATATAATTATCTACAGTGTTTTGCATCACATAAGACAATATTGATGTAGGCACTGATTATTCATCTTGTCAACATATAATGTAAACTTACAGTATAGATAAATGCAGTACAATACTCTAATGTATTTTCATTTCTCTAACTTTATTGTAAGAATACAGTACATAACATACATAACATATAAAATATGTGTTAATAGACTGTTTATGTTATCGGTAAGACTTCCAGTCAACAGTAGTAAGCTATTAGTAGTTAAGTTTTGAGGAAGTAAAAAGTTATCTGCGAATTTCTGACTGCACCCCTAACCCCTGCATTGTTCAAGGGGTAAATTTTCAAGTACATGTATATGAGGTTTCACGAAAACCGCAATATAGTCATGCGCTGCACGACGTTTCGGTCAGCAATGAACTGCACATACAATGGTGGTCCCATAAGCTTATAATGGACTGAAAAATTCCTTCTGCCCAGTGATGTTATAGTCATGCTAAAGCAATACTTACCACTTTTTCAATTTCCTACAGTATTCATACAGGTTTGTGGCCTAGGAGCTAGAGGGGAACAGAATTTGTCACCCAAAATATGTCTATATGGCGTAAGTATTGTTTTAGGTTGGTTAATTTTAAGAAACAGCAGATATGGGAGAAGCCCTGAAAACCAAGTAGAAGTTACCCTTTGTAAAAGGCATTAACATTTGTAAGGGTGTATCAGGAAGAGGCGGATGACCTAATAGTTAGAAACTCTTATTAATGCAGAAGACAACTTAAATCTGCATAACAACCTTACCCTCACTTACCGTGCTCCTCCTGGTAGCCTCTCATAACTGACGGCCCCAACCCCAACATCTTCTTTTGTCTTCAACTGAAGACGGAATTTAAGGTGGTAGCTTCAGCCATTTTGGTGAGTTACTCAGTTTTTCTGGGTTTTTCCCATGTATATAGGAGATACACATGTTACTAAACTTTTGTTTTTCTCCTGTTAATCTTTTATTATAGTGATGACTCAGCCAAGAACCCAGTAGGGTAGAAAGAAAATCATTTTTCCTCCCTTACAGAGCAATAGGCTATACCATATAGCCTAGGTGTATAGAAGGCAACACCATCTAGGTTTAAGTGCACTCTATGATGTTGGCACAACAATGAAATCGTGTAACAATTTCTCAGAACATAACCCTGTTGGTTAGGTGATACATGACTGTATATGGAAGTAAAGTAATAATGTTCACTGGCTTTTGGGGAAATAAACCAGCTATAAACACACTATGTATTTTAAAATTCATAGTGTTCAATTTCTGGATATTACATTTAAAGAAATCCTTATTATTAAGACATTATAATTATTAAGAATGGCTACATGGTATATTTTTTCCCATCCTATTACCATTAATCTGTGTCTTTATATTTAAAGTAGGTTTCTTACAACTAAGTCTTGCTTTTTAAAAACATTCAATGTAATTACTGGTATACTGGGGTTAAACCTCCCATCCTGCTATTTATTTTCTGTATATCTAATTTGTAGTTTGTTCCTTTACTCCTGCTTTCTTTTAGGTTAACTATTTTTAAGGATTCTATTTTATTTCTACTATTAGTTATACCTCTTTTTTTCCTCTAGTGGTTTCTCTAGTGTTATAGTATACAACTTTAACTTAGAAAGCTAGAGAGGCTTTATTAATATAAGACAAAGGAGATTTCAGAACAAAGGAAATTACTAGGGATAAGGAAGGACATTTCAACAATAATAAAGGGTTCAATTAATCAAGAAGACATAACAATCCTAAATGTATATTAACCCAATAACAGAGCTTCAAAATAAATGAAACAAAAACTGACAAAATGCAAAGTATAAATAGACAAATCCACAATTATAGTTTGTAGACTTCAACATTCCTCTCAGTAAATAGCAGCAGAACAAGCAGACAGAAAATCAATAGGATATAGAAAACTTGAACAAATCAATCAGCTATCTTGACTCAACTTACACTTATACAATACTCCATTTAATACGGCAGAGTATCACTCTTTTCAAGTGCAGATGGAACATTCACCAAGACAGACACTATGCAGGACCACAGAACAAGTATTGACATATTTAAGAGAACTAAAATCACACAAATGTTCTCTGGTCACAACAAAATTATATTAATGGGAAGAAAACACCAAATATAAAACTAAACATGTTCCTAAATAACCCATAAGCCAAAGAAGAAATCACGAATAGTATTAGCAAATATTTTGACCTGAATGAAAATGAAAATCTGTGAGATAAGCTATAATAGTGCTTAGAAGAAAAGTTATAGCACTAAATGGTCTAAAATCAATGATCTAAGCTCCTGCCATAAGATGCTATAATGACAATTAAACCCAGGTATGTGACACAGTTAGAAGCAATGAAGACTACTGCAAAGACAGAGAGTACAATCCCGTCTGAAGGCATTCAATTTTCTAAAAGAAAAACATCAGATGGGCTAAACAAAACAGAACTTTGTTTGCTGGATATCAGATTGTGAGCTGGGCTGTAGAAGGATGACAGGAGGCTCCCAAGGTACCAGCAGATTGTGCTGAGGGGGCAAGAGAAGGAAGAATGCTGAAGCTGCCTGAAGTAGGCTGGGGGACATGGTATCACTGTAACCACCAGGTATATGCAGAGTCTATGTGTTCGCCTGTTGTGTTGTGTGAGACTGTTATATATGACTAGCTAGTCTAGTTCATTTTATTTACCAGTTATAAACTGCAACATTACCAATGGCTCTAAATTCTAAAAACTACTAATGTTGATACAAAATCCATTAGTATGATATGGACTAATTAAATATTTTTCAGTTGGTTTGAATTCTCTTTAATAGTAATAGATTTTCAATAATTTCCAGTGAAATATATGCTCTTTAAGAAGTACAGATACTAGGGCTCTATATACCACCAGTAAGAATTTAGTTACCTCTGCTTCTCTTTTCTTTGCCCGTGCTTTCTCTACTTCATCCATTACTTTCTGGGATTCTTCCACATTCCCTTCAGCCCCTAGTTGTTCCACCTTGGCCAACAATTTACCAATTTCTTCATTTAACTCATGAACACGTTCTGCCTAGAAACAAACAGAAAAGACCATGAATAAAAAGCAGAGCAAGTATCGAAGTTCACAGTACTTCAGAAAAGATTCAGTGAACTAAGGCAATTATTAGAATAAATAATGCTTTCTAAGTATATCATAAATGAATTCGTGGGACATCAGGATGTCTTGAGCCTGCCTGCCTCCACTTCAGTAAGGTCAGGGATATCACCGATTTCAATATAACTATTACTTTCCAACCTCGCTTTGGCAGTGTATTCCAAGTAGAAAGTACCTTTTCTTCCACAATCTAGCCCTCTGTACCTTTTCAAACCATCTCTTGCTGTTGCCCTAGTTCATAACAAAATCTATAGTTCTTTTTTTTTTTTTTTAGCTGAGCCATTCTGCCACCTGTTGGCAGCTCAGCAGCAGCTCAGCTCGGGGCGGGCATTGAACCGTATAGTTCTTTTTTGTTTCCCAAATTTATCTTGTTCTCTGCTTCTGACTTTGCACATACTGCTCCCTCTTCCTGGGATGTTATCTCTTAGCTCCCTTGCCTGTCTAGAATGTCTATTCACTCAAAAAGATCCAATTCAAGAGTCTATTCTGTGACATGTTCTTGAACAATCACCATATCTCACCCCCACTTAAAAACATAAGCAGCGAGCCATCCCTCTTTTGTGCCACCTTTGTATGTATGTATTTTACCTACCTACCTACCTACCTACCTACATATATATCGCTTTAAAGATAGTGATCTTTGCATTTCCAATGCCCAACAAATAGTATAAAATAAAATATGAGTTTAAAAAATGAACTGGTGAATACTCTTTCAAGTAAAGACATGGCTTTAGAGACCCACAGATCCGGCGTACGGCCAAACCTGCTGCCAGGTGGGAAACTTTGGCTGTATTACCTAACTTGACTCTGCTTTCTCGTCTGAGCAGCAGGGATTAGTACCTATCTCACAAAGCTGTGAGAGCTGAGAAAATGTGCCTTGTACATGTATCGGGCAGCACATTATGGATTTTCCGCATATAAGCATGGCACCCCTTCTCCCTTAGTTCATGTCTTTCCACTGGGATTAATTCTTGCTCTGGGATTTGATGTGCCTCCTCCTCCTCCTCAGAAGCAGCATCACCATCATCCTGGGAACCTACTTCATTCCTATTCTTTTAATGGCACATGATACATATATATAGTTTTTATTTTGGCCACAAAGTATTCATCCTGTGTGGCCAATTATATCAGAAAGAACTTTCTAATTTGATATGGACATCCAGTGCCAACAAACCAGTGTGTCAATAATTTTTACTTCTCAAATTTCCTTCAATTCAAGGTATCGCCCTTCAAAGAAATTCTCAACTCTATTATCATTACCTACCTCTTTAACAAAGTGGGTTTTTTTTTAAAACACGTCATGGAATGACTGCATTAATCCCCCAACTCTTCATTCTTCCCTGTACTCGTGCCCTTTGCTGTGTAACCAAGTATCATATGCTCTGAATCGCAACCTGCACATACAACTGGCTTAACAGGACAGTAGCAAACAAGACACAAGGCTTGCAAAGCGCTTATATCACTAGGCTTGATGCTTTTGCACCTCTACTCTCATCATGAGAACCCAGTTCAGTAGACTCCAGCTAACTGGAAGACATAGGAGTGAGTCCAGCTAAGACAAGAATAACTGTCCAGTCAAGTTCAGCCTAAATCATTGACTGTAGACTCATGGGCTAAATAAATACTGTTTTGTAAGTCACTGAGTTTTGAGGTACTTTTTAAAGCAGCATTTTTGTAGTGATGGCTAACCAAAACAGCGTGGGGTCTAGCCAGTATTTGTGCATTTGTTTCCATCATGAGATGTTAGATGGCTTGTACTTTCGGATGCCCACCTTTATAGTACCCATCTTCAGAGAACATTTTAGAAACAGTTGGCTCAAATTAACCCTTTCCTCAAATAAGGGAATCCATTTCCCTTTGTACATGCATATCTAAGCACTATACTTAATGTCATCTGAAATCTCTCTGGGTAATTCTGTCTCCATTCTACATTTTCAAAAAATGTACCAAGGGCCGGCCGAGTGGCTCAGTTGGTTAAGAGCTCGCTCGAGAGTTTGAGCTCTGAGCAACAGCGGTTCGAGTTCAGCCCAAGCTGAGCAGCCACTGAGCTGCCAACAGGTAGCAGGATGGCTCAGCTAACAAAACAAACAAACAAAAAAAAAGTACCAGACCACAACTGAATGGTACAGAATATTATAAAGTAGCAAATCATCAATCAACAAAATGCAATATATAGACACTTCCTGGATTTTTATTATAACCAACCAACTCTACATAGGAAAAATAAACACACTGTGGATATTAGATAACATTTTAAAAATTACTAAGTTTATGGATACATTTTTGTGGTTATGTTTTAGAGGTGAAATGAATTTGCTTTTAAAAGAAAGAAACAATAGCAGAAAGCCAACAGCTTTGAATCCACTGGGATTCACTATACTTTTCCCTCTACTTTTTGCATACAAGTTCAGAATAAAACATTTTTAAAAAGTAGTAAAGTAGAATATCTGAAAAACATTCAAAACTGAGTATTTAAAAAACTGAGCAATCCATTTAGAAAATGGGCATAAGACATACACAGACATTTCCCTGAAGAGGATATACAGATGGCAAATAAGCATGTGAAAAAATGTTCAAAGTCATTAGTTATTAGGGAAATGCAAATTAAATCCACAATGAAATATCACCAAACACCTTTCAGAATGGAGGAAATGAGACAGTGACACCATCGAATGCTGGCATGGATATAGAGAAAGTGGGTTACTAATAAACTGCTGGTAGGAATGTAAAATGGGACAGCCACTCTAGAAAAAAGTTTGGCACTTGCTTTCAAAACTAAAAATGGCCTTATCATATGACCCAGTAATTATACTCTTGGGCACTTATCCTAAAGAAATGAAAACTTAAGTCCACACAAAAATCTGTGCACGAACGTTTATTGCAGCTTTAATGGTATTAGCTAAAAAGCTGGAAACCACCTAAATGCCTCCTTAATTGTGTGAATGATTAAACTGTGGTTATGTCCATACCATGGAATGCTACTCAGAAATAAAAAGAAATAAAAACTACTAATACATACAACTTGTATGAATCTCAAGGAAGTTGTGCTGAGTGAAAAAACCCAATCTCAAAAGGATATACACTCTATGATTCCATTTATTTAATATTAAGTGAAATAAACAATGATAAAGATGAAGAATAGATTAGTGGATGCCAGCGGCTAGAGAAAAGGGAGTGGGTGGCTCTGGCATAAAAGGGTTACATAAGGGAGTCTTGTGGTGAGGTTCCAGTTAATTTAATTATGGTCGTAGTAACCCAAGTTACACATGTGATAGTGTTACACTGCACACACACAAATGAGCACCTGAGTAACTGGTGATATCTGAATAAAATGCAAGGACGGCACCAATCTTAATTTCTTTACTTTGATACTGTCCTATACAGTTGTGTAAGACGTTAATATAAAGAGAGGCTAGAGGAGTACATAGAATTCCCTGTATATGTTTTTACAATGTCTGTGAATATAATTTTTCAAAATAAAAATTAGTATGTTGAAACTATATTTTGTACTATTGAAATGACTGAAATTCTTACCTTTGCTGCCACTTCAGCACTAATCTCTTCTTGAGTTTCTGCTAATCTTTTCTTAGCCACCTCTGTTCTTCGATCACAATCTGCAATGAATGACTGCAGATGATCCATAGCCTACAAAGTTTAATTAAAAGGCAATTATTGCCAGAAAAATCAACTTTATTCAGAAATATCTTTACTCAAAAATTATACTTTGTTTTTTTAAATGCTACTATGGACGTAAAACAATAACAAAAGCAGGCTCAAAAATGAAATCAGAAATACTAATCTATCAAATTGGCAAAGCGTAAACATAAATAATTCCCAGGAAAGGTAAGGCTGTAAAGAAACTGCCATTCTCATAACCTGCTGAAGGAAGCCCAAAATAGTGGCAGCCTTTATAAAAAGGCAATGCCTTAAAAATGTCCCCCAACTTAGTAATTTTACTGCCAGAAATTTGTTCTAAGAAAGTAATCAGAGATCTATGGAAATATTAATATTCAGAGACATTCTTCAGTTATTTTTAATGGTGAATTAAAAGTTATAAATACCCTACATATCCAGGTACCATGTAGAAATTTTGATCTTCAGCCATTAAAAAAAGGTTTTAATAGAACACTTTAGGACACAAGAAAATGTTCCTGATTCACTTATAAATTAAAAGCAAGTTACAATCTGATATGCAGTAAGATTCCAGTTTTGTAAAATAAAGAAGAAAAAAAATGGAAGAGCACACATTAAATGTTAATAATTATTCTGGAATACATGGATAATTTTTAATAATTTCTTTTTCAAGTTTTCCACAATGAAGTGTTACAACCAAAAACACTTGACCTTTTTTCAAAGAATAAATCATTGAGAATTTTAGCAGTGTCTGCACTGCAAAATTCCAGTTCAATATTTATATATAAAAAAAATTTATATTTCTCAGGCATATATTAATGTCTATAATTAAATAATAGTTCACTTAAAAGTAAACTTTTAAGATTTACTCCTAAATTAAGCAATTTGGATTTTCATATGTTACTGAACAGATATACAGCTAATTTGGAACACAAATGTTTCAATTGAAAATATAAATTTACTCAGCACATACAGAATTCTAAAAATGGTTGGTTAACCCAAGAATTTCTTGAAAATGAAAAGCAGTAAAAGTCATTAAACCTTTTATCTATAATGACAAATAGCTATTAACTCTTTTAATTTAAAATTCATCTTTAAATTAAACCAAAAATCTATTAAAATTTGCTTATGTGAAGATAAAAGTGGCATCTCAAAGCACTGGGAGAGAAAAGATGGACTAACTAATAAATAGTATTGGGTCAACGAAGGAGTTATCTGTAAAAAAGAAAGCTGAATCTATACCTCAGTTCCTTAGACAAGAATAAATTTAAGTTGGATCAAAGGTTTAAGTGTATAAAATGAAGGCATAAAAATACCAGAAGAACTCATGTGAGAGAAGTCATAACCTCAAAATAGGGATGGCCTTTCAAATTAATCTGATAGAAATTTTTAAAAGGTTAATAAATTAGACAACAATAAAAATATTCTGCAAGGCCCATAACCACCAAAAGAAAAACGGGGGGAAAAAATCCAATGTATTATCTGAGGTAAGAGACTAATTTTCATAATATGTAAATAGTACAAATCAACTAGAAAAATGCTAAAACCCAGTTAGCCAATAGCCAAAACTAACAACTGTACCAATAGTTCACTGAAAAGGAACTATAAACAGATCTTAAATATATGAAATATGTACAAACTCACTCATAAGAGAAATGCAAATTAACTACACTTTATATTCCACATTTCATCTATCAAAGTTGCCAAGCAATCTTAATACAGTATATGTGGCCATATGCGAACCAGATAATCTATTACTGGTGGGAATACAAATTGGTAATTCTGATGGACAGCAATCTGGCAAAATTACTCTTTGACTCAGTTATTCTATTTCTAGAAATTTATTCTATAGACACTTGATATGTAAAAATAGTACATTATCATATTATAATAGAAAAAGACTGAAAATAACCTAAATATCTTACCCATACCCTTACATCTAGATGTCGGTGAATTTCTGCTGTATTTTATGCCCAGTGTGTATTAAATCATAACCCAAATACTTTAAGGTGTTTCCCCAATTGTGGCAGCCCCATATCAAATTAAGTTTACATAGATGGTTTTCATTTCCATTAGCAGAAATTCTTAGAAGTTCAGAAAAGTAGGTGGGGGGGGGGTCTCCTTACTGCTGTACCTCCCAAACCAAATAAAACACCTATTACACCTCCCTGATAAAAAGTGTTGTAAGATTTATGCTCATCAGTAGCTTTATGTAATGTTGATTGGTATGTTTTATTTAAGTATGAAAAAAAGTTTCCCTATTTTTACATAAACAATTCTCATGTTTGTATAAAAAAAACAGTCAGATTTTGAGCCCTTCTGATATGTACATGGTATCTTCTATTTGCTCTAATAGTTCTGTTAGATTTACATAAAAAACATTGTCCTTAACATTCTCCCTCTATCTGTATATTTACAGATATAAAAATGAATATGAATGTAAAAATTCAGATTATTCAAGGGCCTTATATACACTAGAAATTAGTTGTTTATATTTACTTAAGTCGATATTACCTTAATCATTACTACTTTATTGGGAAGAATATGCTCAATTTTCAAAAGAATATATGAATTGCATGACTTTTGCATATTTTCTTAAAATACCCAGTTTCACTTTATATTTTTAAAAACTGTTGTTAGTTAGGAAACAATATGATCTTACTTAACTTAGTACTACCCTTCATATAGCCAAGGGCTAAGAGCTTTTTCCTATTAAGAGAAATTAATCCATATTCAAAATGTTTTATTGCAAAAGATAACCTAAAACCCATTAAAACAAAATCACATACATCAAGTTCAAAGAAAAAATCTTGTTCTTTGGATGCAATTTCATAATCTGCTCTTAAAGCCAGGTCATGGACTTTCAGACATTCTCCAAGATCCATTCTCTAAAACAGAAAAAAAGACACATGTTATTGAATAAGAAACCACATTTTTCAAAAATTCATTAGCAACCACAGCACTCTTCAGAATACATATTAAGTCATACAGATGCTTCTTTATTTATGGACTTCCAAATTACAAAATTTTATGGACAAGTATAAAACTTGGTGCCAGAAAAAAACCACATCAATTCTGTCTACCAACAGATGGGAACAGTGATTACTTTTGTACTTAAGAACAAACAGACAAGGAAAAGCCTGTCAGAATCTGAAAAAAGCTGGGAAGAAAGCTCTTAGCAACAACCTGGATATGTGTATAACAAAGGATATGATCACCAACTCTGTACAATATCCCATGCTAAAAAGGACAGTGAATTCACTGGATTAAGATTAAAAAAGACTGATAAACCAGGTAAAATATAAAAAATAAATATAAAGTCCTATAGTTATATCTAAGGAGACAAGTTTACAAGTAACTAGGTCTGAGTAGAAAATTAGACAAATTGAAAAACGTACTAGTCAAGAGTTAAGGGGTACAATGTGGCATGACTGAGGTAAATTTATGTGATATAAATGTAACTTACAGGATACAGTATATAGTGTAGAGCAAAATGAGAAATCTTACCGAAGGCTGGTTTTAAAATCAAACCCCTTCTCCAAAAGACACATTCTGTGTGCTAACAGATTTCAAAAGGGATATAAATAAACTAGACAAACGGTCTCAAAACGGAGCTATACAAAAAAGCCAGAGAACGTAAGTAATTAGCTGGAGAAGAATCAGGATGTGAACCTAGTCATCTATCAACTAAAGAACTTCCAGTATGAAATAGAAATAGATTTTATTATGGGACTCCTGAGGGACTCCAGTGAGTCATATTTTAACTCTTTCAATGTAAGAAAATACTTTCTAATGATCAGAGCTTTCCAAAGATGGAATAAGCTTCCTCAGGAGTTACTGAATTACCAGATAACGGAGAGATTCAAATATAGTTAAGACAACCATTTTTCTGGGATATTGAGGGAAGAATTCAACCATCAGGTAGCTTTTATTCTTCCAACTCTTGAGATTTCATGACAGTCTAAAAAAAGGTCTCTAAAACTACATTACCTTAGTTTTTAATTACGTAAAGGAGCAAACGGGAAAAAATAAGTAGACAATGTCTTCCAAGTTATCCTATGGGAAATAATAAAGAAGACTCTCCTCTGAGAGCCCTCATGTCACACTGATGGCTTTGACGCGGCATCGTGCTGCTGAGCATGCCGAGCGTTTCTGGGCTCCACTGCTTCCTCTCCTTCATCAGCCTACGGGTTAACCAACAGGATTTTCCCAGTGATAATGAACAGCAACTGAAATCTTATATAGACCTGTGTAAATTGAAAGCTGCTTATTAAGCAACATTAAGAAAAGGCTGCAGAAAAAAAAATGCAGGAAAATAAGACAGGAATAAAAGAAGTTAATGGCAAAAGACTGTTGTTACCATCTTTACACCAGCCAACTGATTTCTTAATTAATAGCATCTTAACGTTAGTCATTCCAACAACTCCCTTTGCATTTGTATGTATTTCCACTGCTACAGTTGCTCAGGGGAGGCCAAACTTCTTTCATAAAAGGTTAAGATGTCACAGTTGGAAATGCCTTTTATCCACTGCAGTGGTTCTCAACCTGGACCTGGGGAGTTTTTAAATAATACTAACGGACGTTTTTGAAGAGGCCCAAGCCCTACCTTCCAAAGATTGTTATGTAAAAATCTCCTAGGGGTTTTTTTTTTTTTTTTTTTTTTTTTTTTTTTTTTTTTTTTTTTTTTTTTTAGCTGAGCCATCCCGCCACCTGTTGGCAGCTCACGGCTGCTCAGCTCGGGCTGACTCGAACCGCTGTTGCTCAGAGCTCAAACTCTTGAGCGAGCTCTTAACCAACTGAGCCACTCAGCCGGCCCTCTCCTAGGGGTTTTTAATGTACAGTGTTGAGAACCATGCACTGATCTAGTTTTATTTCCATTCCACAGAAAACTGAAGCCCAGAAAGACTGAAGTATTTGGAGTACTTATTAGAAAATGTGGTTTAGACTTATTTCTAGCCTAATATCCCTTCCCCTTATTCTATCATACTAATCCCAATTATTTCAGTACTAACTTATCTTTTAATATTTTTAGATAACCACCCTCCATAACATCTGAAAAAGCTCTGCACACAGCAGCAGACATTCAAAGCAGCTGTCTACTGCCTTTTCTCCAGTTAGCTGCTCCCTTATATGTATCCTCTAACTGTATTTCGAATCTGTTCTCAACAAAAACTTAAGTCCCATACAAATCTTGCCTCACTGTGTTTAACCTAAACGTCTCTGTTGCCCACCTACACTACCCTTTGGCAGGAATTCTAGGCTTTCCCTCTGCTCTATCTTTAAATTTACATCACACAACCAACCAAGAGAATAAAAGCAACTATGTGGGTCAAGAACAAAAGGAACACAATGGTACCACTGTAACAGGGGTGGAGTTCTGGAGAGAGGAGAGCTGAAGCGAATGCATGTATGCCTTGGGAGAGGAGCGAGTTTCTAGGAGGAGGAAAGATCTATCAACTCACTAGAACGTGAGCTCCACAAGAACAAGGATTTTGTTTTTATCCATTATGTATCTGTGCCTGGTGTATAGAAATGTTTAATAAATACTTGTTGAATGAACTGGAAAGAGGACAGAGAACACTGGCACGGGGCCCCTGGCTTACCAAGCAAGGTGGTCAAGATACACCCCAGGACAAAGTTGGTCTGAGCTCTGGAAGGTCTTCTAGCCTCTCCTTGGATTATCCCCTTTGCTTGGACTCCTTCCCTTCCCTTCTTAAACGTTTGGAGCGACTCCTCTTTATTTTACTACATGCTCCTCTCCTCCAGGAGAGAGACGGGCTTTTCACTCACTATCCTGGGCCATGAATGCCTAAAGCTAGCTTTACAGTCAAATCTGGCTCACCATAGATTTTGGGGCCAAAGTCCTAGAAGGAAGGGCCTAGCAATAAAGTGTTTTTGTTATTTTTTGTGGCTTGGAATAGCCCCAGTGCTTATTTCTTCAGGGACCTGGCAGGACAATAGGTGTATCCAGGCAGATTCTCGGAATTCTAGATACTAGTCATCTATTTTCCTCTGTCCATACCAAGGCTAGACTAAGCATCCAGTCTGGCACTGAGCTATGCACATGAGGAGGACTGAAATAAAAAACAAATAAGCAAGCCAAAATAAACCCAATCATCCCAGTGGCCACCATAAACGTGAGTGAAGGGAAAGTATGGCTATGTTAATGCTCTCCGCGACCCTAGTCCTCTAATTAAAAATGCCACCAGAGAGGAGCCATGACAGAACCACACCATGGCCCACTATGGACCAGCTCTCAAAAGCCAAATCAATCCTGACTTCGTCACTGAGGGTGCAATAGTACTTTAACACTAGGTGCCTAGATATCTGCTGCTGCTGCTGCTTCTCTTTTCAAGTGAGTGAGTTTCAAACTGAACAAAACATTTGGTTATTCATTTTAACTTAAAATGACTTTGTGATGAAAGCCACAGGAAGAGTTTTGAATTTTTTAATTTAACAAGTAATTTACTTCGTTATTAAATTCTTCCCATGTTTGTTTATTCTTGGTATTTGACTTAATATAATTCTTAGATGGTAAATGAAATAAAAATGCTTATTTTTCACTGGATAAATTTAGTTCTGCAGTTTGTCTTCTCCAGCCTAAATCCATTCCCTCCATGAAGTCTTGACCAAATAATGGTACTTGATCCTGATAACTTCTCTTATAACCGCATAGCATTTTTTACTGTTTCACTGTTTAACATAAAAAGTTGATTCTCTTAAGTGCTTTTTAATTACTCTTACGAAATTTCAAAAGTGAATGTTATCTCCCCAAACATACTCTAAGCTTCATGAGGAAAATGGTTTATTTCTCTTATTTTTCCATCCCACATAAAAGACCAGGTTTTGCACAACCCATGACTATTAAATAAACTTGATGATTTGACTGAGGAATTGTGCTTCTAAGAACTTGAGGGAACTATGAAATAAGTACACAGATAAATGGACATTGATGATAAAATTTAACGATGGTGTTTTTTATCTAAAAAATTAGAAACATTTTAAGAGCCTGGCAACAGGGTTTGATTAACTGGATTATGGAATAGCCATATGACACAAAATATAGCCATAAGAAATTACGTTCTTGAAACCACTAAGTGGAGAAAAGATGGCAAAGAAAGACATAAAATGCCATTTTTATAAATTCAGACATTGCTGTGAGGTTAGTTGGTTTGTTTGAACTTTTTGATATTGGTTGAATTCAATGCAATGAGCATATATTATTATATCTTACAATCAGAAAAATCAATAAAGCCACTTTAATTTTGGAGAAAAACATGTAAGTAACAGGAATAGAGGCATGTGGAAATTATACATCAAAATAAAATAAAATGGTATTTCAGTAGAGCAAATTAAAGGGTTAAATTACACACCTGAGTGCACTGCCAAGTGTAAACTAATGGCAGTAATACATCAATGAATATACCAGCGATAGAAACTGGGTATAGTAAAAGCTCCAAGTATTTGCAAATATTCTTGTTTTGTTATATGCTAGGACATTTGCTCAGTTCTATAAGCTAAATCCTAAAGGGAATTATAAAACAGTATGAGACTATAATACCTGCTGTCAAGGAATTTATATTCTCAATAAAAAAAAAACATTAAATTAACAGTTGCAAATGTAGACAAAAATGTATACACAAGGATTTCATTGCCACACTGTACACCAAAAACAGAAACAAAAACTATTGAAATATTAATAGTCACTGTATAAATAATTTAGGCAACAGCCATATTATGAAATATTATGCAGGCTTTTTAAAAAAGTAGACCAAGTATATGGAAACTTCTCTAAGCCAAGTTAGAAAAATTCAAACAATATAATAACATTTGTTAAAACACACACACAGACACACACACACACACACACACTTCTAAGTGCACACAA